CTGGGAGGATGGGGAGACTTAGGAATTCCAAGCTGCCTCAGAGGAACCCAACTTCTGGCAGGTTATCTTACTTAATAACCGATGCGTAACATAAAACCCTAAACACTAAACTACGAGGAACCCAACTTTTGGGGCTATCCTACTTCGCAACTTCTATGCGCTAACTGTCCCGGATCCTCCAGGATAAGGGGCTTCCAAGGCTAAGGATTGCAGGGCTGATAGAGTTGAGGGTTGGGGCTAAAGCATGAAGCCTTCTAAACCCTATTTGGAAACCCTGCCAAACCCTTCGACACCCGAAAAAAACTCTGTAATCCCTAGACCTAAACCCTAAATCCCTAAACCCTGAACCAAAACCCTGTGAAAACCATGTGCGCCCAAATTTCCCTATCATCCCCACGAGTCCCTTGCAAGCCTCTGGGCCTTGTGAGCCTCATGCACCCTATGAAGACTTATAAGTCATAAGCCTATAAGCCCTCAATCCTAAAGCCTAGAGCCTGAACCCTGAACCCTTAATCCTAAACCCTGCGAACCCTCGCGCTGCCTTTGCCATCGTCCCGGCGCCTTCGGCGATCACGGCCTTCCACACATCGCGCGAAGGTATAACCCTGATTATGACTACCCATGAACCTTCAGCCCTAAACCCCAACCTTCAAGTAAGCCTAAAACCTAAACATAAACCCTAAACGCAATTTTGGGCGGCGGCTCTTGGTCTTCTGGGTTGCAAGGCTTCGGCTTTGGGCCTAAGAGGTTTGGGGTTTGGGGTTTAGGTTTGGGGGGGGTGCAGGGTTCAGGATTTAGCTGTTGCACCTAAGCCCCGGCATCAGTTCACGCAAACACCTATCTGGCCCCTCTTGTCCTGAAATGTCAACACCAACGTATCTCTACCTGAGGTCAAGCTCATGACAAACACCTCGTGGTTGCATGTGGGAGTTTACGAGGAGAATAGGTGGACCCGGATTATAGACCCCAAATAGTAGCATTCCCTTCTAATAAGGACCCCCTAAACCCTAAACCCTAAACCCTAAACCCTAAACCCTAAACGGTACCCCCCAATTTCGGAAACCCTTATGTAGGTTCCACTTTATGACATGGCATTGCACCGGGCATGGCCCTGCCTGCGATCAACAGTCAACTTCAACGATAAGGCTGATGGTCCTCAACCCTGAACCCCAAACCCTAAACCCTAAACCCTAAACATATAGTACCTAGCATAATCCCGATTAAGGACTGTTGCTGTGGATGTTGGAAATCTTGCACCCGCTTTTTGCACCCGCTTTTTGCAAGGCCCGCCTGTGGCAACCGATTTTGTTGAGTCGCAGTATAAGGCGGAACATCCCAAAGGACAAGGCTGATGGCAATGCGCGCTGCGCTGAGGTGAGAGACAAAGCCTCGACCCTCTTCCATCATCGGGACCCCGAGCCCACACACGCGGGTTTACGATATTCGGGCCGAAGGTGTATAGGTTGTGAGAACAGGCACCCCCTTCCAAATCCTCGCCCCAAGCCCAAGCCAATTGTCGGCCCCCTTTTTCTTTGCCTGGAAAGGGTGCGGCCACAATCTGAAAGCGGACGGTTCGCCAGGACCAGGGCAGCTGAAGCCCCGCCGCCCAGCAGGCCACCCCGCCCCCCCCGCCCCTCCCCCCCGACCCCCCCTCCCTCTGTGCCCCGACCCCTCCCCCGCTTTTGCTTGAGGGTTTGGCTTGAACCTTGAACCCTAAACCCAAAAACCCTAAACCCCAAACCGTGAACCTTGAGCCTTGAGCCCTAAGCCCTCAACCCTGAATCAACCCTCAACCCCAAACCCCAAACCATAAACCATAAACCCGGAACCCTAAACCCTAAACCCAACCCTTATTGCTTGGGGTCCAGCGACTTGGGCGCTGCGGAATCACCATGCTCACGCGGATGCGCTGGGCCGGGCCGAGGCGGGTCGCGTAGCGTTAAAATTACGGGGGTTCCTTCTTGCAGGTCCTTTACTATTTAGGGGGGTCTAATATAGGGGTCCCCTATATTCGTAAACTCCCACATTGTGCAACTTTTTAACTAAAGGCCAGAGCAGACCACGCCCTGAAATAAAAGACAAAGAAACGACACTCCTGCCACACCTTATGCGGTCGCGACAAATTCTGGGAGCCCTCATGCCCCTGCAGCCCTGGTGCCAACCTCCCCCCAAGCAACACCCGGAACCCCAAGTATCCCAGACGCCCTAAGTTAAACCCCCAAACCCTTAAACCCCGTAGGCAAAAAAACAGACAGAACCCCGAAAATCTAAACCCCGAAGCCTCAAAACAAATATAAGAGCCCAGTAGAAACCCACCCTAAACCCTAAAGCCCGAAAGCCCTACTCCCCGACTCAGTTGTTGGCTGCGGCTTCGCTCTTTGCGCCGCTTGTGCTTGCCTGGGTTGAAGGATTTGGGATTTAGGGGTTATGGCGTTTGGGCTTCGGGGGTTCAGAAAACGTGCTTCGGGGGCTGTGGTTCGGGGTGGGGCTTAGGGCTTGAGGTTTGGGGGGGGGGGGGGTGTTTGGGGTTTTGGTTGGGGGCTTCAATCTTGAAAGTTCCTTACGCATTCAGCTGCCAAAACCCCAAACATAGGGTTGTAAGTAAGGTAGCCTATATCATCACGCCAGTTAAGGTACTTAAAGCCCAACGTATAACGACCCTAAAGCCTGAATCCTAAATCCTAAGCCCTAACCCTAAAGCGTTAAAACCCCACCCCTCACATGGTCCCCTAAAACCTAAACCTTTAAACCCCAAACCCCAAACTAAACCCTAAACCCTAAACCCTAAACCATAAACCCTAAACCCTAAAACCCTAAACCCTAAATCCTAAACCCTAAACCCACACCAAGCCTGGGAAAGCCCCTGGGAGCTGGGGCGGCCACTGCTGCTACTGCTGCTGCTGCTCTCTCTCCTCTTCTCCTCCTCCTCTTCCTCCTCCTCACCTACGCAGCTGCTTTTATAGTATGATTGGGGTTTAGGGTTTAGGGTTTAGGGTTTAGGGTTTAGGGTTTAGGGTTTAGGGGTTAGGGTTTAGGGTTAGGGTTTAGGGTTTAGGGTTTAGGGTTTAGGGTTTAGGGTTTAGGGTTTAGGGTTTAGGGTTTAGGGTTTAGGGTTTAGGGTTTAGGGTTTAGGGTTAGGTTTAGGGTTTAGGGTTTAGGGTTTAGGGTTTAGGGTTTAGGGTTTAGGGTTTAGGGTTTAGGGTTTAGGGTTTAGGGTTTAGGGTTTAGGGCTTCTACTATAGGGGGCCTTAATCATTGAACAGGGTTTTGGGGGTCATTATACTATAATTCGCAAGGGACCCTAATGGAATAGTAATAGTCCTTTTCCCGACCCCTATATTACGCAGTTACTTCAGAAGTTCGAGCCTGGTTGCAAGCCTTACAGCTTTAAAGGAGTCTTACCTAAGGCTGGCGTAGAGCTTTCTGAAATTCGGGCGTTTGTACAGATCGTGGGTGCATACATGCGGGGTGGATCCTGCGTGGCTGGTCTGGGGCTTTCTTGGGCTTAACTGAACCCCCCTTCATTGGGATCGAGCAACCCCCTATGAGTTGAGATCAAATACACAGAAGTAGAACCCCTTTCGGGGTTGGTTGTTGCACGTAAACCCTAAACCCTAAACCCTAAACCCTGAACCCACCTGAGGAGGAGCTGCTGCTGCTGCTGCTGCTTTCCTTCTTCTTCTTGGCCGGCTTGCCTCGGGGGCACTTTTGGCTCCAGCTGGGGCTGGGGGTTTGGGGGTCGTCATTAGGGCCTTTAGAGTTTAGGGTTGAGGGCTTAGGGCTTAGGGCTTAGGGCTTCGGGCTTGGGGCTTTTTGCTGAGGGCTTAGGGTTCCATAAGGCTTGCAAGGGTTTAGGGGTCAAGGCTTCTAATGGTTCAGGGGCTACTGTTGGCTTGAACATAATCACTGGTGCCATGCACACATGGTGTCACCGGGGGTCCGCGCTCTTTGTCTTGGGCATGCGCCCCGTCGGTCTTCACTTTGCTTGTAGAACCGGTGTGGTGTTGACGTGTACGCTGGGTAGGGCTAGGGGCTCGGCAGTGCTACACGGCCCAGTAGTCGTGTGAGATCTTGCTTCCCGAAACCCAAAGCTTTAGGGTCGAGGGTCATACACAAACAACGCCGCTCTGGAGCCCAAGCGGCGTGGCGGAATCCTTGGGGGCTCACACATCTTCGCAAAGGGGGCTCCGGGCTTAGGGTTTCGGGTCCTGCAGCATATGCATCCCCAAAAGGACATCCCAGAAAAAACACTCACTCGTATCTGCAAGGAGGCCATGTACACGCAGCAAGACCTTAACACGAACTCCTCCCCGCGGCTTATCCCTGAAGCCTCCCTTGGCCTTTGCACCTAGCAGCCATAGCAAGCCCCTCAGTTTGATGCGGGAGCGCTTCTCCCTACCAAGAACACGGTTTACATAGGGTTGAGGTTGTAGAGTTTGGGTTTTTAGGGTTTAGGTTTAGGGTTAAGGGTTAAGGGTTTCGGGTTTAGGGTTTAGGGTTTACAAGTCTTCCCTAGACCCCGCGCCCTCTTCCAACCCAGAATACAAAGGAGCGAGTGACAAGTTGCCGAAATCAACCCTAACCCCGAACCCGTAAACCCTAAACCCTAAACCCTAAACCCGGTCAGCCTTTTGCTCAAATCAATGCCGCGCGCCGCTTCGTGAAACTGGAGGCGCAGGTGCCAGGAGCCATAGGGGTTGATCTAAGCTCTGGGTCGTTTCAGGGGTTTAGGGATTAGGGTTTAGAGTTTAGGGTTTAAGGTTTGGGGTGATTCTGTTCCTGAAAACTTAGGGTAGCGCAAGGACCACAGTCCAGATCAACCCCCATTTCAGGGTGCGGGGGTGTCAGGTTTGCGTTTGGAGTCTTCGGGTTTAGGGCCAGGGTTTTAGGGCCATCTACCTAAGTTCAGGGTGGAGGATGTCGGGTTAAAGGTTTAGGGTTTAGGGTCTAGGGTTTAGGGTTGAAGATCTTAAAAAGGCTGCCGCCCAGCCAACGGCTGGCTACGATAGCACTTCCTTGATCGTCACAGCAAAAACGAGAATCGCAAACACGACGCCGAAGCCCACGGCCAGCTTTCCTCCGATGTCACCCATGGGCATGAAATACCTCGGTTTAGTGTTTAGGGTTTAGGGTCTAGGGTCTAGGGTCTAGGGTTTAGGGTTTAGGGCTGTTAGCGGCCTCTCAGTCGGGCTACACAGGGTCCTATGTTTGCTACAGCAGCCTCTGAAACATATCTTAAACCCTGAAGCCTAGACCCGAAACCCGAAAGCCCCCAAACCCTGAACTCCGGGCGCCGCGCTCGGCCGAGTAGATGGTGCCGAAGCCCAGGTAGAGGAGAACGACCACCACCGGAACAAAAAACGTGAGGGGATCCCCCTGACGAGCTTGGAGCTAAGCCGGTTTAGGGTCTGGGGTTCAGGGTTTAGGGTTTAGGGCTTAGGGTTTAGGGCCTTAGGCCTGTTCTCTGATTCATCAAGTCTCTATTTTCGTGTGAGACTAAGACTCGTGAAGGTGCCACAGCCGGCCCAACCTACCCCTAGCGCCCGACACTCAGGTCAGCTTCGGGAGGGGCGATGGCCCGCGACCCCCAGCTAGGCCTCATACAGGGCCTGCTGAAGCGAGCAGCTGAGGGACGCGAGCCATTTTGGTGCAAGGCAGGGCCCGCCCAGCGTGCATACTGGGCCTGCTGCTCCGCCGCCTGCTGCCGCGCCGTCCGGAGCAGGCGCACCGCGTTCGGCCCGAGCCGGCCGAATAGGGTTCAGGGAAAAGGGTTTAGGGTTTAGGGTTGAGGGTTTGGGGTCTAGGGAAGCTTCAAGGAGCAAGAGCGGGCACATATTCTGCACCATGGCTGAAAGCCTAGGCTGAATCCTCGCCCCAAAACGCCTCGACCCCACCCCGAAAACCCCCTAAACATCCAGGTCCTCACCCCAAAACCCCCACCCTAGACCCTTAAACCCTAAGACCCTGTCTCCCAGAGCCTTGAGCCCCTAAACCACCCCTAGCATAAGCCCCTAAACTCTAAACCCTAAACCCTAAACCCTAAACCCTAAACCCTAAACCCTAAACCCTAAACCCTAAACCCTAAACCCTAAACCCTAAACCCCAACCCTCAACCCTCAAACCACTGGGTTGCTTTTTCAAGAACTGCTTGTCTGAAGTTCCCTTTTTGGGTGTTAGGGACTCATGGTTTTTCCAGGGTTTAGGGTTTAGGGTTTAGGGCTTAGGGGTCTAGGGGTTTCGGGTTCAGGGCTGAGGGCTACTCTAAACCCTAAGCCAACCCTAAAGCAAACCACCCTCAGGCCTTTAGAGGGTGTAGGGCTTGGAAGCTTGAGGGGTTTTAGGGTTTAGTGTTCGGGGCCTTGTGTCTTGAGGGCTTTGGGGGGGGGGGGGGGTTAGGGCTAGGGGTTGTCGGGGTTGAGGACTCAGGCCTTTTTCAGGCTTTTGTAGGTTGAGGGTTATTTAGGTTAAGGGCTTCGTGTTGGTGTTCAAGATTCACCCTAAACCCATTCAAACCCTAGGCTCCTTGAAACCTAAGCCCTAAACCCCAAAGCCAAGTCATAGGGCTTTAAGAACCCCATGTGCCCAGCCAGGCCTCCTGCTCATCTTCTGCAGCCTGGCCAGGGCTGTCCGGGTCCTCTGGCGAAAGAAGGCCCCAGTCAAACCACTGAGGAGAAGCTCAGGGCTTTGATGGCCAGGGTTTGGGCTTTAGGTGGGTTTACAGGTTCAAGCCATCATGGGAGGATTTGAAGGGCACCTAAAGCCCTAAACCCCCCGAACCCCTGAACACCTGAGACCCCTAAACCCCTCAACACCTGAAACCCCTAAACCCCCAAACCCCTGAACACCTGAAACCCCTAAACCCCTAAACCCCTAACCCTAAACCCTAAACCCTAAACCCTAAAGCCTAAACCCTAAACCCCAAACCCTAAACCCTGGTCCTCTGCCTCGGCCTTGGCCTCCGCCCTCGGCGCGGCCCGTTGCTGCGTAAGGCCGCGACTCGCTGGAGCCTCCGCGGACAGCTGCTGGGCTGTTTGATGCAGAACCCTAAACCTTAATGCCCTAAGCCCTAAACCTTTGACCCCAAACCCTAAACCCTAAACCCTAAACCCTAAACCTTTGACCCTAAACCCTAAACCCTAAACCCTAAACCTTTGACCCTAAACCCTAAACTCGAAACCCTCAACCCTCAACTGCTCAGAGCCGGTCCGGCGCCGGCCGCGGATCTGTCAATGACCACCCGGTGAAGCCGTCAGCCTGGGCCTCAACACACCAGCTGTGGCACCCAAAGGGCCTAAAAGCCCTAAACTCTAAGGGTTTAGGGTGTAGGGTTTAGGGCTTAGGGTTTAGGGCTTAGGGCGTAGGGTTTAGGGTTTAGGGTTTAGGGTTTAGGGTTTAGGGTTTAGGGTTTAGGGTTTAGGGTTTAGGGTTTAGGGTTTAGGGTTTAGAGTTTAGGGTCAAAGGTTCAGGGTTTAGGGTTAGGGTTTTTGGTTCAGGGCCAGAAGTAGGTCTAGGGTTTAAGGGCGTGATGAGAATTTGACTTGAGGACACCTTCGCTTCATGGATGGCCGCGAATGTTTGCAACACGCACGAGGGGGGGGAGAACAGAGAAGTCTGGGGCTTAGCGTTGGAGGACGATATCGAAGCACCTTACAACATAACCCGGGTCATCCGCGAACCCCGAACCCTAAACCCACCTTCACCCGGCTGGGGATCCAGCAAAGCCGGCATAGAGGGCAGCCGCTGCTGCGAGCACTGGGAGGACCCAGCACGGTCCTCGCCATTCTCAAGGGAGTCATACTCGGAGGATTTAGGGTTTAGGGTTTAGGGGTTAGGGTTTAGGGAGTTTAGGGCTCTGAGGGCCCAGTAAGCACTGTAAGCCCCATAAACCCTACAAACCCAGAATCAAATCTTTACAACTCTTGTGGCTTTCTTCAATGGGCTCTTCGTCTTCAGGCCCCTTAACCATACCCCCCCCCCCCTTCTAACCCTTAAGGGTAGTTACAAGACCCTTAATGGGAACCCTTCTAGACCCCTTATATTCCCTCTAGAACCCCAAGGGCCCTTCAGAACCCTCTAAAGAAGGCGAGGGACCACATTAACGGACCATGTAACCTTAAACAAACTGGATGACCTGCCGATTCTTAACCGGAAATTGGGAAATTGGTAGCCTGTGGGGCTTAGGGTTTTTAGGTTTGATGTTCCCCCCTCTTAAAGCTCTCGTAAGTCCTAGGGAAGATTTAGGGTTTAGAGTTTAGGGTTTAGGGCTTAGGGCTTAGTGTGGTTTCTTTCGGATAGCCCGGGCTAACCCGGAAACCCCATCGAAACCTGACCCCCTAAACGTCCCTAATATCCTAAGCATGTCAACCCTCAACCCTAATCCCTAAACATCCCTAAATCCTAAACGTCCCACAAGTTCGAAACTCCGAAAAGTCGCAAAGCCCCTGAACGTCCTAAAAGTCCTAAAAACCCTGGCCTCTGGCACCAGGGCCGCGGTGGCCGCCCAAGCGAGGCATGACTTCCGCCGCGTTTTGTTGTTTTGATTTTTGGGGGAGTTTAGTTTTTTGTTTGTTTAGGGCTTTAGGGTTCTAAGGGTTCTTAGGGTTTTAGGGTGCTTTGGGTTTTTGTTGGGTTGCAGGGTCATTAGGTTTTTTGGGGCTTAGAGGGTTTTTGGGGGGCTTACTGGGTTCTTTAGGGCTTTTGAGGGTTTACGAGGGTTCTTAGGGCTTTCCAACCTCGAGCCACAGGCTGTGAAGTCGAAAACCTCGCCAGGGCTCGTGGTTAGGGTTTAGGGTTTAGGGTTGAGGGTTTAGGGTTTAGGGTTAGGGTTTAGGGTTTAGGGTTTAGGGTTTAGGGTTTAGGGTTTAGGGTTTAGGGTTTAGGGTTTAGGGTTTAGGGTTTAGGGTTTAGGGTTTCGGGTTTCGGGTTTCGGGCTTGGAGTTTAGGGTTTAGGGCCTAGGGTTTAGTGCACACGGCATCTTACCAGTGGCTCTTAGACCACAAGGCTACGTCAACTCGGTCCTTGAACGACCCTCCCTGCCACTCTGGCCGGCAGGTTGGGCTTTAGGGAGGGTTTAGGGTTCAGGGTTCATCAAAGACAGGTACAACATCTCTAAGAATTCATGCCTAAACTCCTCGAAGCCCCGCAGCCCCAGGCCGGCCGTGTTTTGAGACCCTCCGCTTGGCCCGCCGCCTGGGAGTTGCTTCGGGCACCTCCCTGCGTGGCCGCTTGGACTTGGGTGCCGGTGCCTCCTGGGACTCTGTCTCTTCGTCGCTGTCGGGCAGCTCCTCCACAGGCACAGTGAGGCGGATCTCCCAACGGCTGGTCGGCGCAGCAACTTGAAGAGGCTCGACATAATGGGACGTGGCCGGATCTCTCAGCACTAATCGCAGCACGTTGTTTCGCAGCGGGAGCCGGAGCAACACGGGGACAGGGGCAGGAATTCCCGCTGGCCCGGCCAGTATCCCGGCAGCCTCTGCTGTCCTCAGGTGAGCTTCACCCTCCACGTAGCCATCTGCACCACCCATGGCCAGAAGCTGCTTCCGAGCACGGCGCCGCCGAACCCGTCCATCGTCTGCACTGGCACTGGCAACCTCGAAGCCCAGGAGAACGTCCAGCTGAGACCGTGCGGTGCTCGTGGGCCGCTGGAAATCGAGGCCCGGTCTGAACCGCCGGATTTGCAGAGACGCCGACCCGGTTCGCTTCACCCCCGTGATGGCCTCCAGGTATTGCAGAAATCCATCTGAGGCCATGTACCCGGCCACGTCGGCCAGGGCTCTGCCCACCGGGCAGCTTGAGGCTCCTCGGGTCCGCGTTTCGCTGAGGGCCAAGTAGCGCTGCACACGCACGGGACCCTCCTCCTGCCAGCCCTTGCAGCCGGAACCGACCGTGTCGATGGCGGCAGCAACGCGCTCGGCCAGCGCCGCAGTCAAGAACCCTGGCAGCTTGACGTGGCTCGCCTCCTCGAACTGCGTCCGCAACTCGCCCTTCATCGACATGTCCAGAAACCTCTCGGAGACCCAGGTGTTCAGGGCTTCTTGCTCATTGCCGCGCCCTTCGAACAGGCTTCGAAACGGAGCATCCTGCCAGGGGTCCCTCTGCTCTTCTGCTCCCCTCCCGGCCAGGATTCCATGGACCGCCAGCTGGGGAGCATCTTCAGTGAGGACTCGGGTGATTGCGGCACCCGCCCCGGCTGCATAGAGAAGCAGGCAGGGCTCCGGGGAGAGTGTCCTGATCGGCTTGCCTTTCTCAGGTCCATACACCTCAAACTGCCCGCCATCCTCCTGATTCCACCAGTCCTCCGTGAGAAAGAGCGCGAAGGCGACCTCGCCACAGTCCTGCTCCCCGGCAAAGCACTGCGGAAGCACCTGGCCCCCGGGAGGGATGGCCACCAGTGCGCAGCACGGCGAGGTCAAGGGCCCCAGGCCCGTGATGCTCTCGACCAGGCGCCGGAACGCCTGGGCCCTCAAGGTCTCCAGCAGCCGGAGAAGCACCGGAGAAGCGCCGGAAGCCGCGTCCAGCGGTAGGACCAAGGCCTGGGTGTGGGAAGTCTCGATGGGCTGAAGGCCTCTCAGGTCCGCAACGAGCTCGTCGCGAAGACTGCGCAGCTCGGCGGGATCGAAGGGGTTCAGCTGAACACAGGGCTGCCTGATCCACTTCTGGCGCAGATCCTCCACTCCCTGAACCGAAACCTTGAGAGGCATCACTTCCCCTCCATGTCCACCCTCCTCCACTTCCTCCTCCACTTCATCCTCCTCCGCTCTCTTCTCTTCCTGAGCCCCGGCTGCACGCAGGCGGCCCGCCAAGGCGTGGACGGCCTGGGCCGAGGCCATCATCTCCCGCAATCTCCGCGAAACGTCCGGGCGACCCGCCTGAACGGCCGCGGAGAAGACCTTGCTTCAGCGAGCTCACCCCTCAGTGGCCCCTCAAACTTCTCTTTCAGCCACAGAGCTCCCTCAAAACTTTGAACCCATAAGCCCCTGAACCGTAGGAGTCAACTCCCAAGCCCTTAGACCCGCAACCCCCGCATCCTCTGAACCGGCCCAGATGCGATGTAGCTTTTGAAGGCCACGGCCTTCTCACCAGCCTTCCGGCGAACTATAAACCTGAACCCCGTGAGCCCCAAACTCTCACAAGCTCCAGAAACGCATGAAGCCACAAACTCTCAACTCCGAAAACGCCCTCTAATACTTGGATTCATATGAAGATGAAAATTCATGTACTTGCTTTGTTGAGAAATGATGCACTTTAGATGTCTATCTGCATGTGTATGTATTCATGTATAAATAGAAATATAAATAAATAAATGTATATTTATATATATGCATATATATATATATATATGTATATGGGGGGGTAAATAATATAGGAAGATAGTGAAAACAAGGGTTAAAAAGACTTAAATCCGGAGATAATTGTCCGTCAGGGGCAGGGTCCGAACCCCAGGACCCGACATTAAATCCAGAGTTAGTTCTTGCAGGCATATGCTTGGTTTTCTGAAGCAATTAAATCTAGATTTACTTGTTTGTCTGCCTTAGGTCTTCGAAAAAATTACCTCCAGATGTAATTGTTTTTTTTGGTGCTCTGGAAAGTAGCAAGCTATCGGTACTTCGTTTTGGTTCCACGTCTCCGGTCCTCAAAAACAATTAACTCCAGATTCAACTGTTTTTTGGGTGCTCCGGAAAAATGATTAAGCCGTCAGTACCTCGCTTCGTGAAGTAGCAAGCTATCGGTACTCCGTTTCGGGTCCACATCTCCGGTCTTCAAAAACAATTAACTCCAGCTTTAATTGTTTTCGATGCTCCGGAAAATGCTTAAGCCAGCAGTACCTCGCTTCGTGAAGTAGCAAGCTATCGGTAATCCGTTTCGGTTCCACTACTCCGGTCGTCAAAAACAATTAACTCCGGCTTTAAATGTTTTTCGGTGCTCCGGAAAAGATTTAGCCAGCAGTACCTCGCTTCGTAAAGTAGCAAGCTAAATCCGGAGTTAATTCCCCCAAAAAGGACCCCAATGGAACCCGTAGATAATTCCCCTCGAAGGACCCCAAAGAAACAATTAAATCCAGAATTAATTCCCCTCTAAGGACCCCAAGGAAGCAATTAAATCCAGAGTTAATTCCCCTCAAACCTGCAAACAATACTTCAATCCAGAGTTACTTGTTCGGCTAGGGGTTTAGAACAAGACCGACAATTAACTCTAGAGGCAATTGTCTCCTTCCTACACCCTTACAAAACAACTAAATCCAGAGTTTATTGTCTGGATAGAGGGTTGACGAACCCCAGCAGCCAGAACAATTAACTACATCGGGTATATTTTAAACTCTTGTTTCAGTGTTTTTTCATAGATATATATATATATATGTATTGATATTGGTATTGATATATTGTTTAGACGTATATACATACAACCATTCAAGCCTTAAAACCCCCCAGCCTTCCGAGGTTGAACGATGCCCTCCTGGGAGTCGCGGAACCGGCCCTGGCCCACGGCCTCGGCCACTTGCCGCGCGAGGGGCTCCTGGCGGCCGTCTTGCTTTTACTTCTTAGGGGCTCAGGGTTTTGGGGTTTAGGGTTTAGGGTTTAGGGTTTAGGGTTTAGGGCTTAGGGGGTTTCACCAAGTCACGAAGACTGGGTTTTATGGTCTTCTGCAGGAGGTTTGCTCCAGAAGTTACGGAAAGGTGGAGGTAGCAGAACACAGGAAACTGCAGACCCTAAAACGCTAAACCCCAAACCCTAAACCCTAAACCCTAAACCCTATATAAACCCTAAACCCTGAAACTGCGGTCCTCCGCAGCAAACGCAACCAAGGCCTCCTCCTCATGTGCGCCCTCGTGGACCGAGTTGCAGGAAGACAGGGTCCTGGGTTTAGGGTTTTAGGGTTTTAAGGGTTTTTAGGGTTTTTAGGGTTTTAGGGTTTTTAGGGTTTTAAGGGTTTTTAGGGTTTTTAGGGTTTTTAGGGTTTTAGGGTTTTAGGGTTTTAGGGTTTTAGGGTTTTTAGGGTTTTTAGGGTTGTAGGGTTTTTAGGGTTTTTAGGGTTTTAGGGTTTTAGGGTCAGGGTCCTGGGTTTAGGGTTTGAGGGTTTTAGGGTTCTTAGGGTTTTAGGGTTTTAGGGTTTTTAGGGTTTTAGGGTGCTTAGGGTTCTTAGGGTTTTTAGGGTTTTAGGGTTTTTAGGGTTTTTAGGGATTTTAGGGTTTTTAGGGTTTTTAGGGTTTTTAGGGGTTTTAGGGTTTTAGGGTTTTAGGGTTTTAGGGTTTTTAGGGTTTTTAGGGTTTTTAGGGTTTAGGGGTTTAGGGTCCTGGGGTTTAGGGTGCTGGGGTTTAGCGTTCTGGGGTTTCGGGTTTTGGGGTTTAAGGTACAGGGGTGTGGGGTTGTTGGGGTAGAACCTCCCCAAAAAACCAAGAACCCTAAACCCCTAACCGCAAGAAAACCTTACCCCCTCCCCCCCCCCCCGCACCCCCCACAAGAATCCCGGCACTCTAAACCCTAACCTCTAAACCCTAACCCTCCCCCCCAAAAAAACCCTAAACCCTAAGCTACCCTAAACCCTACACCCCAAACCTCAAACCCCAAACCCCCCCCCAAAAAAAACCCTCGAGAGGAGTCCTTGCTCCGGGAAGCATGTTGAGAGCCAGGACCAGGCTCCCCACGCAGGGATCCAACTCCAAGCCGCAGGCTTTGCGGTACCTAAGGGTCCCTTAGGGTTTAGGGTTTAGGGTTTAGGGTTTAGGGTTTAGGGTTTAGGGTTTAGGGTTTAGGGTTTAGGGTTTAGGGTTTAGGGTTTAGGGTTTAGGGTTTAGGGTTTAGGGTTTAGGGTTTAGGGTTTAGGGTTTAGGGTTCGAGACACAACAACGACTCCTAAACACTCCTCACCGCTGCTTTTTGTGCCACTGCTCGCTGAGAGCCCGGAGCTCCTCATAAGCCGAGAGCGCGCGCTCCTGAATGAATGGGGCTTGGGGGAGCCCGGAACCCTAAACCCAATAATCCAAAACCATATACACTAAACAACCCTAAACCCTAAGCAACTTTAAACCGCAACAACCTAAGCCATAAACCCCCAAGCCCCTAAACCCTAAACTCCTAAACCCTACAAGCTCTAAACAACCCTAAAACCCTAAACCCTGAACCCTACACTCTACAAGCTCTGTGACCCTAAACCCTAAACCCTTAACCCTTAACCCTAGACCCTACAAGCTCTGTGACCCTAAACCCGAAACCCGAAACCCTAAACCCTAAACCCTTAACCCTAAACCCTAAACGTTCCTCGAGATGGTAAGCCTGGCGGAAGCGCCGGCAGTATGCCTTCCAGCTGTGCCTCACCAGAGCTTAAGTCCGTTTAGGGTTTAGGGTTTAGGGTTTAGGTAGGGTTTACGTAGGGTTTAGGGTTTAGGGTTTAGGGTTTAGGGTTTAGGGTTTAGGGTTTAGGGTTTAGGGTTTAGGGTTTAGGGTTTAGGGTTTAGGGTTAGGTTTAGGGTTTAGGGTTTAGGGTTTAGGGTTTAGGGTTTAGGGTTTAGGGTTTAGGGTTTAGGGTTTAGGGTTTAGGGTTTAGGGTTTAGGGTTTAGGGTGGGGTTTGGGTTTGGGGTTTAGGGTTCAGGGTTTCTGGTTTCGGGGTAAGCATTCATAGGGTTTGGGGTTTAGGGTTGTGGGGTTTAGGGTTTTTATTACGTTTGCTAGGCTCTGGAGCGATGGGCAATTATAGGGTTATAGGGTTATAGGGTTTTACGGGGTCTTGGTTTAGGGTTTAGTTTTGGGCTCGTTTGCCTCAGCTCGGCGTGTCAGCTGTTTTCACAGAAGCTGTTTTCACAAACAACTTGGAAAATTCTGTGGCATCACATACAAGTTCCATCTATCGTCTTACGGGTTTAGGGCTATATAAAGTGTAAGGTTTATAGCGCTTAGAGGTCAGGGTTTCAGGGTTTCGGGTTGAGGGCCTTCTCTTGGGTTCACCACTCCCAGGGGGCCATGCCTACGCCCAAACTACCTCCTACGCCAAATTCGAGGTCTCCAAGACACGAAGCCTCGATGTCGCACTCCACACTCCCAGGCCGAAAGAGCCACTCGAAAGCTTAGGGGGTATGGGTTTAGGGTTTAGGGTTAAGGGTTTAGGGTTTAGGGTTTAGGGTTCAGGGTTTAGGGCTTAGGGTATATGATGTCGGCGTCTTAGCGCAAGCCTCCAAACCCTGAAGCCCTCACAAGGCTATCCCCCAACCCCCCCCCACCCACCCACCCTCGCGAAATCCCTGTAGACTTGAAGGCCCATGGGTAGTTGCAATAAGTAGAGCTACAAGTGCCAAAATCAATCACGGTTGTACTATCTGTTACCGTACTTAGAACCTGACTTATACCCTAACGCCTAACGCCCAAACCCAAACCCTAAACCCTCATGTATCCTTCCCAGTGCACGCCTTGTGGGGTGGCGGTACACCTCATTCCAGGCCTGCGCCGTGCCGTCCGCGCGTGCCAAAGCCAGGTCCATCGGTTTGAGAGGTTTAACGGGAGCTTGCGGGGGCTTACGGACGTTTTCGGGGGCTTAGGGTCGCGGGTTCGGGGTGTTAGGGCCGAGCGTGGAGCCAAGGAAGCTGCAAAATTCTTGTCAGGAATTTTACTCTGGTTTTGGAGGTTGTCTGTGCAATCTGTATGGGCACCCTAAAACCCTTAACCGATTCTACTTTGGAGGTCTAGCTCCGCCAAGGTAGTGGGATGTCAAGGGAGTCCAGGGTTTGGGTTTAGAGGGTCTAGGGTTTAGGGCCTAGGGAGTGTGACCCTGTACCTAAGAAAGGAAACGTGAACGCAGCCAAAATGGGAAGAACTTAGGTTGCTCAGGGCTTTGGATGACGAATTGGCTCTGCCAACTCTTCGCACTCTTTGCAGACATGGCTGCCAGATGAAGAGACCACGCACTCTGGGGTCTAAGGGTAGCTATATAGTCTCGTAATATGGTCCCTTACCTTCTGTAAAGGGCTCTGAGGTGTGGGGTTTTGTAGGGTATATAAGGGGTATATGAGGGGTTTAAGGGGTCCCCATTTAAGGGCCCATACTAATGGACAATGTGGCTCCACTAGACCCTAAACCCTAAACCCTGAACCCTAAACCCTGAACCCTGAATCCTGAACCCTAAACCCTAAACCCTAAACCCCTCAGCTTCAGGTTTAGGGCGTTTAGGGCTGAAGGGTTCAGGCCTTCCAGTGCTTCAGAGGCCACCGCGGATGACAGGGGCGTTTGTTCTCAAAGACCCCACATGGGCTCATAGGGGTCTGCGGGTTCATAGGGTTTAGGGTTTATTGAAATTATTCAGGGTTCAGATCCGGGGAAAGTTTCGAGGAAAGTTTCGAGGAGTTTCGTGTTTGCGTTTTTTGAATAATTTCAAGTTACAGGGGGCTTGAGGGTTTAGGGATTAGGGTTTAGGGTTTAGGGTTTAGGGTTTAGGGTTTAGGGTTTAGGGTTTAGGGTCTAAAACCCCTCTTGGGGGAGGAGTTCAAGGAGGCTACATTCCGAATTAGGCTTACTCTCAAGTTTCAGGGCTGAGGCTTCGAGCTTGCAGAATTCTTACACCACCCCACGCTCAGGTCCGGAAACCCTGCAAGGGTTTGGGCCTTTTGGGGAGGCCTCCCTTCGTGTATTCCGCAAAACCCTAAGCCTGAAACCCTCACCCTTTTCGCTAAACCCCGAACCAAACCCCAAAGCCCCAAAACCCTAGTCTTTGACTGCTTCGAGTACCAAAAGGACCCTCAGCCATACAGCCCCGAGATGCCTGAACCGAGAACAGGTCCTAGGGATGAAGGTTTAGGGTTCGGGGTTTAGGGTTAGGGTCTACAGTCTTCGGCCCAGGGTCTACGGAGTCTATGGCTTAACGAGCTCTAGGTTAGCAGGCAGTGCCCACACATCTTGCATCTCCCAACACCATGATGACAAACAGCCATTAAGATCCGAACCACACCTTTGTTCGCTTGCTGCGAGTTGCGCAGGGGTGAGCGGTATCGTTAGTTTCAAACGGTGAAAAGGTGAAACCATGCCACGACCGTCCCCGAGTGGTGGTGATCCTTCCGCTACACTGGGGCCATAGCATGCTACATACAAGCCAGGGGCATTCCACCTCTTCCAGCTTCTGCTTAACATAACTTTCTCCTCTTGCAGCACACGAAGCAGTTGAACTCCGCTTACGAGATGAAGGCGATGAGAATTGGCAGCAAACTTGCCAAGCCCAGCCAGCGCATCTCTGACCCGTTCGTCAATGCCGCACTGCATGGCAAAGCAGAGGACGGAACTTGAATGAACCTCAGTCCCCAACAATGCAAACTACCAAAGGCCGAGACCAGGCTTTAGGGTTCGAGGTTTTGGGTTTCAGGGGTTAAGGCGGTTAAGGCTTAGGGTTGAGGTCCAACACAGAACAGGTCCGGACTCCATAACAACGCACCCAAACGACTTTGCCAATCAAAGCTGAAGCACTTGAAGGACATGGTGGTTCCATAGTTGATGCACTCGCCAGCACTGACGTGCGCAACATGAGTCGTATCACTCAGGAAACCCTTAATCGTTTGGGTGGTCGACGAAGAGCAGCCTTGACCACCGGGATAGTCGTTTCGATTCACCATGTTGCCCTCACAATACCAAGCATGCGATTGCGATGCATGCTGACAGCATAATGCTTCGCCAGACGAGATGACCTCCCCCGCCGGGGACACGGAACACACGAACTCTCGCTCTCCAGAAACACAGTCAGTTCCGAAATATTGGGCGTAACTGATGTTAACAGCAGAGCTCTGGCGCAAGAAGGCCACCAGTAGCCACAGAAGTCGCATGTTCACCGCAGAATCACCATTGCCAAGCATCGTAGCTTGAACCCACGGCTCACATGAGCAAGTACAACATCACATGCCGGCGTGCGTGCGCGCCGCACACGAGAAAATCACTAAGAGAATCTACTTTGGGGCAACGACCCAACACAAACTGACAAGTCAAATCAGATTCGACATGAGCAGTTCAAAAACGGTCCTACAAGAATGACGCTGGTGCGATGACTGGGATCTCACACGCCCCTGACAACCTACCCCGCCCTGATCCCCAACAACCTTCCTGATCACCCCGGACTTTTCATCGGAAAGGTCAGCTCATCGCGACCACAAGGGCGGCTATGGACCTTAGGCTTAGGAGACTCAGGTTCCGGGGCTCAAGAGATTCCGAGCTTCGGAAGTTTAGGGTTTGGGGTTTCAGGGGCTTTAACGTTGAGCGCTGAGGGTGTAGGATGATTTATGGTTCTGGGGCTTTAGGGTCTAGGGTCTAGGGTTTAAGGTTTAGGGTTTAGGGTTTAGGGTTTAGGGTTTAGGGTTTAGGGTTTAGGGTTTAGGGTTTAGGGTTTAGGGTTTAGGGTTTAGGGTTCAGGCACATGGATAAGGTCCCGGACCCGGCGAGTGTTGCACCGGCCGCTTCCCCGCGCATCGCCGCGACAATGGCCGGGCCCTCCTAGGGACACAAGCATTTCACAGGGCTTCTGAGGTTTAGGATTTAGGATTTAGGGTTTAGGGTTTCGGGTTTAGGGTTTAGGGTTTAGGGTTTCGGGTTTAGGGTTGTAGGGTTTAGGGCGAGGGCTTACAGGGCCTCTGGAATTTATACACCCTAAAAACCTGAAACCCTAAACCCTAAACTCGCTGACAATGTAGGGCAACGGGCGTGGGCTTAAATCCCAAACAGTGGGATTTCCTTGACATACTGCTTCTTAGTATGGAATTAGGTACCCTCTGCAATCCCTCAGAAACACCCTTCAAAAGGGTTCTCTAGGCTATGCTCGGTGCCTAATGCCTTGACTTCCCAGTAAGAGCTATTAAGCTAAGGCCATGGGCACCTTGGGGCTGAAGTCTCTACTACGTTTACAGGGTTGAGGGTTTAGGGTTTAGGGTTTAGAGTTTCAGGATATAATAACTACGGTTTTGAAACGTGCAAGTATTTCATTGATAGTTTCTCCTGTGAAGCAGTAGATCGGACAGACAACATGTTCTGATTCCCCTACGCTTGCGTTTGCACATCTAGGTCAGCAAGCCCATCAGAAGCACGAACGCCCGAGAGCTCCAAACTCTCAACCTCAAGGCCAAAGCCCCCAAATATTATTGATCCCCAGAGATCGCTTGCGAGGGCGGCGCAAAACGAATTAAGGCCAACGCCTACTTCTGAGGGCGGCGCAGAACCGAAAGACTAGATAAGAGCCACGGAGCAACATCCGAAACCGCAATAAACTCCAACACTGCAGAGCTCGCGACGCTCACTGGGGGCGACTGTGAGGCTGCCGAGGACTGGGAGGGCGAAGAGTCTGGACCCTTCGAGGACCGCACCTGTAGATGGTCGGAGGTTTTTGGAGGTTTAGGTTAAGGTGGGGGGGTTTTAGAGGGTGCGGTTCAGAGGGTTTCTATAGAAGGCCCTATGTCGCAGAATCCCCAATAGGCCCTAAGCGCCTACTGCAGGGATGACATAGGCCGGCTAAACCCGAAACCCTAGGCAACTAGATCTGACTCTCACAAGGTTTGAAGCACCTCTTCGTACAGGGACCAAGGCACCCTGAACCCCAAACCCACAAACCGAAACCCCTCAACCCAAAACCCCAACCCCAAACCTCTTTCACCCTAAACTCCAAACCCCAGACCTAAAAACCGAAAACCCAAAAACCGAAAACCCAAAAACCGAAACCCCGAAAACCAAAACCCTAAACAATAAACCCTTTTCAACCCCAAAAGCCCCAAAAAGCCCCCCTTCAACACCAGGCCAGGCACCAGCCGCGTGTCGGGAGCGGGCGCGGCCTGGCCGCGCGCGGGCTGCCCGGAGGCGGGAGTCCGGGAGCTGCGCGGGACCACGCCGCAGATCGGGCGCGAGGCCTGCGGGTTTCGGGAGGGATTTTTTTCCAGGGGCTGAGAGGGATTCTCAAATTGGGGCTTGGGGTTTAGGGTTTCGGCTAGGGTTTGGGGTTTCGGGTGGTTCGGGGGTAGGGTTGAGGGGATAGGGCTTTGAGGGCTTTCAAGCGGCCAAAGCTTCAGGGCTTTCGGTCGCGTGGGGGCTTCTCAGCTTTGCGAGTCCAAGGGGCCTTGCGGGTTTAAGGTTTGTTTTTGGAGCTTTCGGGTTTGTCGTAGGGTAATTACATGGCCTTATATACCCTCCAAGACCCATACTTCAGAACCCTTTAAAGAAGGCAAGGGACCAGATAAGGGGACTATGTAACTACCCTTAAAGTTTGGGGAGGTTGCAGGGGCCTAAGCCGCAATAAGGGTGTAGGGTTTCGGTTCTACCTAGACCCCGAATTGTAGTTCATTTCTGGGTGCCTAAGGGGTTTCAGGATTCAGGGTCCTGTGGGTTTTTGCTCTGATATCGGACAGCAATGCATAGACGGCAAGGAGGAGGGGGGGGGAGGGGGTGGTGGGGAGGGGTGAGGGGTGGCAGGGGAGAGGGGAGGGAGGGAGGGGGAAGGAGGGAGGGGGGGGGGGCTGGGAGGGGTGGGAGGGATATAGAGAAATATATCAGATGTACTCACAGTAACCCGAAACGCCGAAACGCCGCGTACAATTGCAGCGGCCTCGCAGAGTGTTTTCGTACTCGCAGCGCAGCCTGCACTGACCGGCTGACACCTTCGGCAGACCGGAAACCCTCCCAACAGTCCCCTGAGGCCCCCTAAACGGGGTCTCGGGCGGGTTTAGAATCTATATAGGGTCTAGGGTTTAGGGTTGCCCTAAACCCTAAACCCAACATTCTTGAAGCCCTACCCCTCCAAAACCCTTAAACCCCAGCATCCTCTCAACCGCTGAAGCCCAGGATGAAACCCTAAACCCTAGATCCTAAACCCTAAACTTTACCCTAAACCCTAAACACCCAAAGCCCGAAAACCCCTTCTGCTTCGGCGCATCATGCGGTTGCCATCGCGGTCCGTCTCGTAAAACACCTCACTGTGACACTCCTGGGTGGCGGTCCAGAGGTTTAGGGTTTAGGGTTTAGGGTTTAGGGTTTAGGGTATAGGGTGGGTTTTGGTTTGGGTTTGGGTTGGGGTCCCTGAAGGTTTGGGATCCTTCAACCCTAAACCCGCAGCTCAGGGAGCTGCACCCCTCCCCCCCTCATTGCCGGCACCCCTTACGTCGAACCTCTATCGAAAGAGTACCTCCAGAATGGAAAGTAGTCCTAAACCCTAAACCCTAAACCCTAAACCCTAAACCCTAAACCCTAAACCCTAAACCCTAAACCCTAATTCCGGCTTAGGGTTTAGAGCTCAGGGATGCATCCGAACCCCAAGAAAACCCTTAGAAAAGTCCGAAGAGGTGCTGATGATCCCCGTAACCGTAGCTGCTCTTGGGTAATTCGTAGACATGCACTCCCGCCCTCCAAAGAGGCCCACATCCTCTCCCAGCCCAAGTCTACGCCTAAACCCGAAACCTTACAAACCGAGCGTCTGCGTGGGTGAGCTCCCGGCAGGACTGGTTCCGGCTCCTTCCGCGCTTAAATTGGCTGCGCTTCTGCTGGGCAAACGAGGCTTCAGGGGATTTTGGGCCTTGGGGGCCGAAAGAGGTAAAGAGCCAAAAAGTTACACGAGCAGAATTAGGGCGGGCAAGGGCCTAAGAAAGAATGAGACAAGCAACCCCAAGCAACCCCCCACGTCCTGGTGTTGATCTTGTCGCAGTACAAGAAGCAGCCGGAGACCCCAGCTTGGTGGGAAGGCCTTGGATCATCGTAGTGTGGCTTGACGCCGGCATCGTGGTGCGATATCTCGCAAAGAGGCCACCACTCGTCACACACTGCAGATCGGTCGACTCTGCAATGACCCAGGTGTAGCCTGCACAACCGGCGCTTCCCGTCCCCGTCGGTCTCAAAGAACTGCGCGGATTCGCAGGAGGCAGGTGTGAGGGCAGCACACGAGGAATTCACGCTGCGGACGTCCGTCTTCTGACAAAGTGTGAAGCAGAAGGGTGGGGCGTCGCCCACACCGGCGTGCCTTCCACTCGCCTGGACCGTCACGTTTCCCTTTTTGGGGCTCTGACTTGAGCTTGGCTCACTTGGCTTTGTTGAGCTCGCCAGGGTGGTGCTTTCCGCTGGGCTTGTGGTAGCTGAATGCTTCGTTGAGTTCGCCACTGTAGTCGTTTTCATCGGGCTTGTGGTAGCTTGGCTAGGGGCCGAGCTGGGCAGAAACGTCATTGGCAGGATTGGAACTTCTTGACCGTGCCAAGTCTCTGCACAGAGTGGCTGCCAAGCAGGGCACGAGTTGATGGAGTCCATTTCGCACTGGCCCTTTTGAGGCACGCATGGTCTCCGAACCCCATCGTGGTCAGTTTCGAAGAACTGGGCACTGGAGCAATGGCTCAAGCTCAGACTTCGACAGGACAGGTTCGTGACGGCGACATTCGTTTTATAGCAGAGCGATCGGCACAATGAGGCCGGGTTGCTCGGGCTGTTCCTGACATCACCTTAGTTGTCCAGTAACCTGGAAATTAAAGGTTAACCTTATAGGGTATTATAGGGGGATTGTACTACCCAAAAAGGTTAAAGGTTACCTACTCTACTACTAGGTCACTCGGATCATCCACTGAATCTACGGAATCAGCGCTGGCAGGGCAAGTGAGCTGCGAGGCATCGCAGTGTTCCTGCAGCGACGTGCCACAACCTCCGGAGCTTTGGACAACGCACGGCTTGCGAGTGCCATTTGTGTCCGTCTCGTAAAACCTTCGTAGCCCAACAACCATCTCCTAATAGGAGTACGTACCCTTTTCTGCTAAACCCTAAACCCTAAACCCCTAGCCCTAAACCCTAAACACCCCAAACCCCTAAACAAGGAACCCATAACCCAAAAAGAGGGCACAAAGGGCACGCCTCTGAGCTACCAAGGAACTGCGTGCTCTCGCACTCGGGGGGCGACAGGCTCGAGCAAGACGAGTCGAAGCTCTTCACATCCGTTTTGAAGCAGAGAGCCTCACAGGTGGCCAGCTCCCTCTGCAAGCCTCAGCAGGTTGAGGGTTGAGGGTTGAGGGTTGAGGGGTTAGGGATTAGGGGTTAGGGTTCAGGGTTCAGGGTTCAGGGTTCAGGGTTTAGGGTTTAGGGTTTAGGGTTCAGGGTTTAGGGTTTAGGGTTTAAAGCTTAGGGTTTAGGCTGAGGGTTTAGGAGCAAGCTACTAATGTTTCAGGCTGCGGGGTTTCAACTTCTCAGTTCTGAATAAAAGAAGTAGGTTCCCACATGATCCCTAAAAGGGTTCGAAAGGGGGATATGAGGTCATTCCGCAAGAAGAATGAGCAAGTTGCCCTGGAAACACGCATCGGCCTGGGCCATTGACGTCCCAGTCTTGCTTGTGAGCGCAACTACTCTGATAACCTCTCTCTATCCCCTCTCTGCTTCTTTGACACGAAAAAAGCAAAACTCCATCTCTTGATCCCCAACCCTCAACCTTCAAACCTATAGTACTAAAGCCCAAACCCTAAACCAACCCCCCGCCCCTCCCAAACGGCCCACGAAGCCCCGACCAACCCATCGCAACCTGACAACCCTAAGCGCTACACCTTTACACCCTAGAACCCCAAAGCCCTAGAAGCCCCCCGAAAATCCTAAAATGCGGTTTAGGGTTTATTGAACTGTTCAGGGTTCAGGCCCGGTAGAACTTTCAAGGACGTTTCGAATGTTTGCTTTTAAAGAGGGTTTAGGGTTTACCTCTCCCCACCCCCGACCCCTAGCCCACTGACCCTAAACCCTAAACTCTACACCGCCTTGAACCAAAACCCTCAAAACCCCACAGACCTTTCAAGGCGCCCCCGTAAACCTTTGATGGAAACCCTTTAAGGGCAATAAAGGGTTCGGGATTAGACCCCGAACGTTAAACCCCTGACAACTCTCACATAGGGGCCGCGAAAATCCGATATCATAGTTACGAATATTATTACTAGTATTATTATTGTTGTTATTATTACATTTATTCTTAGCAGTATTAGTATTAGTATTAATATTAGTATTAGTATTCGTATTCGTATTCGTATTAGTATTAGTATTAGTATTAGTATTTGTATTTGTATTTGTATTAGCATTTGTATTAGCATTTGTATTAGCATTTGTATTTGTATTGGTAGTATTACTACTATTATCATCATTATTCTTGCTATTATTTCTATTTTGACTTTCTGTATTTTTCTATGTTACTTTCACTACTATTGTTAATTAGTCTGGCCCCTAACAACCCTCTCGGAAGGGGCCTGGACTCGCACAGGGCAAGTCGGAGAGGCAGGCGGTGGTCCAGTCCTCGCGCCGAGGGTTTAGGGTTTAGGGTTAAGGTTTAAGGCTTAGGGTTTCGGGTTTAGGGTTTGGGGTTCAGGGTTTAGGGTTTATAGACATTGTACAGGGTTCAGGTCCCAATAAGTTTTGAACGAACCGTTTTGAACGAAAGTTTTGAACGAAAGTTTTAGTTTTTGGAACTAGGTTTTCATCTTTGAAGGGAGTGGGGAGGGGGTGAGGGCTCCCGGACCATTTCTGAACCTTTTTGGGCTTCTCGTAGCTGGGGAGAGCTGGGCGGAGATCTGGGGGAGATCTGGGAGGAGATCTGGGGGGAGATCTAGGAGGAGAGATCTGGAGAGATCTTGGGGGGAGATGTGGGGGGAGATCTGGGGGGAGGTCTGGGGGAGATCTGGGCGAGATGTGGGGGAAGATCTGGGCGAGCTGCGGAGATCTGGGAGGAGATCTGGGAGATCTGTGGGGGAGATCTGGGCAGAGATCTTGGGGAGATCTGGGCAGAGATCTGGGGGGGGGGGGGGGATTTGGGCCCAAGCCCTGGATTCTCCGCGTAACATGATATAGTGTGCCCTGAGTGTCATTCATTAGAGGCTATACACAAGGGGGGGTTCTCATCTTGGGACCGGACTATCCAAAGCTATTGTAAACTACAGCAAAGTTCCATAAGCTGCGCAAGCCTTCCGGAATGGCAGAAAGTCCCCGTAAACCGATTAAACTACGCCGAAAGTGCACATCACTTTCCGCCTTCTGCAACATGTGAGAGCTCGCCTGGACGTCTGCCCCGGGCCAGTTGCAGACTTCGGCTTCTCACTGCAACTGCCACTGCCTACTGCTCTTTCCGCTACTGCCAAAATCACTATAATCTGCAGCAAAACTTAAACCATCACCCTAGCACATCGGCATCACCACCATCCTGATCTGGAGAAGATCTGGGGGGGAGATCTGGGAAGGGAGATTGGGGGGGGCGGAGGTGAGATCTGGGAGGGAGATCTGGTAGGACCGGGCTGTTGACGACAATGCTACTGCAGGTTAGATGCTTGGCTCTCATTGTGGCGCTCCCTGCTTCGGATTTCGTGGATTCACTAACACGGTTAAATGCTTCAATACTATGTCCTGCTAAAGAGGCAAGAAGCGTTCGTTCGTGACTAGGCCTGTATAGTGAGAACAATTGTCAAGCTTCATAGGAACAAACTCGTCCTGGACGGGAACAAACTCTTCCTTGGTAGATGTGAGCCCCGGAGCCCTTCATATAGGTGAAACAACCTCCTCCTGGGCAGGTCTGAGCTCTGACCCCTCCATAAAGGTGGAATGCCTGCTACTGGGCAGGTCCCTTCAGAGAGGTGGAACAAACTCCTCCTGGGCAGGTCTGAACTCTGGATCCCTTCATGTAGGTGGAACAAACTCGTACTGGGCAGGTCTGAGCTCCTCCTGGGCAGGTCTGAGCTCTGGATCCCTTCACACAGGTGGAACAAACTCGTCCTGGGCAGGTCTGAGCTCCGGACCCCTTCATATAGGGCAGGTCTGTAGAGGGACTGTAGGGGCTGCGCTAGATTCCAATGGCCTGGAGATGCTTTCAGCTCTTTGGGCCCTTCATATAGGTGGAACAAATATACGAGCTCTTCGCGATATCCAGTGCTGGTTAAGGCAACATGCTCAGAGTCTGGCAGGGACATTAGTTTGGGTGAACACGTGATGATCTGTGGCTAGTATATTAAAAGCTCTACTCCACGTTGTTTGGGTTTCTACGAGGGATACTGTTAAGCATTCTTCCGGACGTGTCTACGGCCGCCAGTCGATTTCTCGAAACAATGTTCAGTGGTTGCTTTCTATAAAATGCTCACATTCTACTCTAGTCTCCATCTGGCTCATCAACTGTCTTGGACTCGTTGCTATCGGTTGTTATGTCCTGAAAAAACTGTCAGGGCATGGTCTTCGGCTTTTCGGCATTGCAATGCTGCTCGCTACTTTTTAAACCTTCGCGCACGCACTGCTGCGATCTTCAACTGCAAGCAGCCATGTCATCCCAGGTGACGTGCTGCCTCATGGCACAGGCAGTGCACGATCAAAGCCTTGACGCAGGAAACATTGCGTGTATTTTGTTGAACTATTCTTTTATCTAAGTGATGCGTGGCTTCTTTCTTTTTCAAGATCTTTGCCTTGTGTCGAACTTCCCTGGCGCCATGGAGAACATCATGAGAGAAGCAGGGACAAGGCATCTCCTCTAACTGTATACACGCCCGCAGTTGATCTCGGTAGTATGCTTCGTAGACGGACGTGCGCCCGCAGACCTGGCAAAGAACTGTTTTGTGCATTGTATATGATTGCTACAAGGCTTCAGGCCAGGGTTCGGACTTTGTTGAAGCAGTGCCACGGTTGATCTGTAGACTCATGACGTCGTTTTGAAAGGTGGGGGGGAGGGGGGAGGGGAGGGGGGAGGGGAGGGGGGGGGGGGATGGGGGGGGGGGAGGGGAGAGAGAGAAGGGGGAGAGGGAGGGCAGGGGAGGGAGGGGGAGAGGTACGGGGCCAGGGGCTACATTGGGCGTTTGGCCTCAGACTCAAACTCGGCTTGTCAGCGGTTTAGACAAAAAACTTGGAAATTCAGAAAGATACCACATACAATTTCTATGAAGTTCGTTTTGAGGGTTTAGGGTTTAGGGTTTAGGGTTTAGGGTTTCGGGTTTAGGGTTTCGGGTTTAGGGTTTAGGGTTTAGGGTTTAGGGTTGAGGGTTGAGGGTTTAGGGTTTAGGCTTGAGGGCTTTGAGACTGGAGCTTGGGAGAGCTTGCGGGTTGGGACTTGCAGACAGGGGAATCCCTGAGATCAGGGGTGTAGGCTTACCGGTTTTGGGGGTTTTGGACTTAGGGTCTAGGGTTTAGGGTTTAGGGTTTAGGGTTTAGGGTTTAGGGTTTAAGGGGTCTTAAAGGTAAGGACCTGACAGTGGGAGTCAACGCGTGCATGCGGATGGATTCGCAGCTCCACAGGGGGGGTCTATTCTCTGGAAACTACGTCCATGCGGTTTGGTATCTTAGGGTTTTCAACCCTACCAGTAGCAGGGTCTTAGGGTTTAGCAACCCCAAACCTGAAGCCCTAAGACCCCATAAAGAATTAAAGGTTTAGGTTCTCTCCCACACCTCTTTGCTGATGTTGTGCTGATCTCCTCCCCAGCTACAAGACTTAGGCTCCGGGTTTATGGTTGGGATGTTACCCCTTATAACAACCCTTAATCGGGAAGTATACTAGGGGGTACTTTCATCCCTACTAAGGGCTGTTAGTTAGAAAGGGGGTGGGGGGGGTGGGGGGGGGGGGGGGGGGTGGGGTTTTGGGGGGTGGGGGGGGGGGGGGGTTGGGTGGGGGGGGGGGTGGGGGTGGGGGGGGGGGGGGTGGGGGGGGGTGGGGGGGGGGGTGGGGGGGGGGGGGGGGTGGGGGGGGGGGTGGGGGGGGGGGGGGGTGGGGGGGGGTGGGGGGGGGGGGGGGGGGAGGGGGGGGGGGGGGGGGTGGGGGGGGGTGGGGAGACCATCCCAACCTAAACCCCAAACCCTGACCCTAAACCCTAAACCCTAAACCCTAAACCCTAAACCCCTAAGTAAAGGGGAACATCCCAGGTTTAAGGTGTCAAGGCTTCGGGCTTCGTCCTCTGTACACCGCCACCGGGGCTGCCAAAGGCAAAGCCGCTTCTCCCCATAGAGGCCAGTGGCCTCAGATGATCAGGGCCACTTTACTTGTGGGCGTATTAGGGTTTCGGGTTTCGGGTTTAGGGTTTAGGGTTTAGGGTTTAGGATTTAGGGTTTTAGGGTTTAGGGTTTTAGGGTTTAGGGCTAGGGTGGGCTTGAGTAATACTTTAGAGGGCCTTGGTCGTTTGGGGGGTTGTCGGAGTTGTATCACAGAGGGACTATAAGGCGACATTATTAGTAACTTTTCCGACTTCTAGACTAGGGCTTAGGGTTTTTGGGTTCAAGGTGCCAAGCGGCATAGTACTGCATGGATCGGCAGTCTTCCTCTGACAGGTCCGGGCATTCCGCGTGGCCTTTGTGCCGCACGTCGGTCTTGTCGCACAGGGCGTTGCAAAATGGAGAGCCGGAACCTGGGCCTGGGATTGCTTGCTGGTTGAGTCTAGGGTTCAGGCGTTTCAGGCGTTCTAGGGCTTAGGGTTTAGGGTTTAGGGTTTAGGGTTTGGGTTTAGGGGCTTAGGGGCTTAGGGGTTTAGGGTTTGGGGTTTTGCTTGCTGGGGCTAAGCTAGACTCCCGGGTTGAGTCATGTCATGCACCTCATGTACAAGGATACTGTGGGCAGAAACCCCCTTGAATCTGGACCCAAATCCTGAACTAAAACTCAAAACCCCAAAGCCCCGAACCCCAACCATAACCAGGTCCTAGTTTAGGACCCTGAAACCCTGAACCCCACAACGCCTCAAACCCAAAACCCGAAACCCGTAACCCCGAACGGGGCCAACAACCGAAAGCAAAAAATCTAAAGCCTTCTTCCCAAAACCGTCTTCTTAAGCGCCTTCCCTTATACCCAAATTCCGAAACTCTTAAGGCTGAACCCAACCGTCCCGCCTACACCTGTCAACCCAAACCCAAAACCCCGTAAGCCCCAAGCCCCTAAACCCTAAACCCTAAACCCTGAACCCTAAACCCTAAACCCTAATCCCTCAACCACCCAGCCTCCCACTCCGGAGCTGCGCTGTAAGGATGCCCTGCCATCTACGCCGACAGTGGCCCGGAGGCCTCGAAGAGTCTGGGGGGGCTTGTTCGGGTGTCCTCAATCCCTAAACTTGCCCTAAACCCTAAACCCGAAACCCTAAACCCTGAACCCTAAACCCTAAACCCTAAACCCTAAACCCCAAACCCCAAACCCTAAACCCCAAACCCTGAACCCTGAACCCTGAACCCCAAGGGTTGGGGGTCTGGTTGGGTCTTCGGGGGGGGTCGAAGGGTCTAGGGCTGCAGGCTGCGGAGAATATCAGAGATAGGGAGCTCAGGGCTTTGGGGGATTTTTCAAGCCCTGGGTTTGGTGTCAGGATTGGATTCCCTACGCCCTGAACCCTAGACCCAAAAGCCTAAACCCTAGTCCTACTAAGCCCCTGATCCATGCCACAGTTGCAGGATGAGGGGGTGGCTGCCCCCGCCCAGGGTTTAGGGTTTAGGGTTTAGGGTTTAGGGTTTAGGGTTTGGGGTTTCGGGTTGAGGGTTTAGGGTTTAGCGTTTAGGGTTTAGGGTTTAGGGTTTAGGGTTTAGGGTTTAGGGTTTAGGGTTTAGGGTTTAGGGTTTAGGGTTTAGATAAACCCCACACAACCCCAACACATTCCTCAGCTGCTAGACAGCCCTAAGGCCCCGGAGACATGCCAGGTTTAGGGTTTAGGGGTTTAGGGATACTTGAGGATTCATGAGGAGCTAGAAGCAGGGCTACAAGTAAGGTAACCCCTATTCCAACCTGACTTAGGGGGTACTTATAGAACCCTACTGATTACCCATGAACCCTCAAGCACATCATACTGCGGCCATAGGTCCCGTTTCTTTGTGATGGCGCTGGTGCGCCCTGGGAGGGAGGATGGCGGAAGGAGCAACCCTTGGAATGAGAAGGAAAGACAGGCCCCAAAGAATGCAGAGAAGCGGGGTTTTTTGGGGGTTTTGGATGGGCCGTAGGGTTTGGGGTTTAGGGTTTAGGGTTTAGGGTTTAGGGTTTAGGGTTTAGGGTTTAGGGTTTAGGGTCTAGGGTCTAGGGTTGAGGAGGTGTATCCTGGCTTAGGCTTTGAGGGAAGCCTGAACCCTTGAGGCGTTACGGGGCCTTTAGGGCCTCACGCACAGCTTGAGGCTTGAGGGTTTTGTTTGGTGTTCAGGGGTGTAAAGGTTTAGTATACAGGCTGAGGATTCTTCGGCAGATTCCACACGAAAACCTAACCTAAATCCCGGGTGTATACCTGTGGAGTACCTTTTTTGCAGTCTACCGATGGCCGCCAACTCAAATTGTCCACAGCGCTTGCAGTGTCCAGAAATGTGTAGGGACTTCGGCCCCTCCTAGTCTTCCTCACTTGAGGGTTTGGGGTTTAGGGCTTTCGGTTAAATGCATTAGCTAACGTTATTCCGAAGGCTACGTTACTAAGAACCCTACTCACGACTACCCATGAACCTTCAAGAAATTCACCCCCAGCCAAAGCCAGGCCAAAATCCAGACATGCATCGCATCCTGCGTCCCACGCGCGCCTGATCTCAGATGCACATGCGCTGCTCAAGACGGCCAGGAAGAGCGACAGTCTTGAGCTGCGCATGAACGTGCGCAGACTACGAAGTTTCTTCATGACTAAAAGGAGGCGTTTTGAGCCGACATGGCACAGGGTTTAGGGTTTATGGTTTAGCGTTCAGGGTTTAGGGTTTAGGATAGCTTCTCTTGCGAAGCGCTCTCCCTAACAGCAAACCCTGAAACCGAAAAAGTGACCAGATTAGAACGCAAGGTAAACGTCAAGACCATGGCTGCATGCACGCCTTCGAATCCCCTGGTTCAGACCTTCAAGCTGGTGCACCATTCTGTGGTCATTGTCTCTGAATTCGGCTTTCTATGCATTGTTCTCCTCCTGCAATTTCTCACATCCCGGGTTCATTCTGAGCCCCAGCAACGAAGGCTCATCTCCCTCGCACTCATTGCTCGCATGCTTTCCGCCTAGCACCCGCCATACCGGCTCACCATGGCAGACGGAAGGGAGCGTTTCCTTGTGGACCCTTCCGAACATGGACCTCAGAATGAGCGCGAGGATGTCGGCCAGGAATCTTCGTGCAAACTCACACCTGCCCATGTCCAGCCTGAGAAGTGAAAGCACGGAAACACCCAACTTACTCACTAGATCCCAGGTCATTCGCGACGATCCCGCAAGCTGCACAGCACGGCGCCAGTAATCAACCAAGATCGGCACACATCTCCGCACAACCCCTATCAAGCCTTTTTGATCCCCTGTGCGAGTGTCTCCGGCGGACTCCGGCGACATGATGGTGTTTTAGTTTTACCGTGGTCACCCAGACTGAGGTTCGGGGGCTTCGGGGATCTCATGCTGGAGCCACTGCGTTGCACACGGGATCCGATGGGCCGTCGGTCCTACGGCGCAGAGGACGAGGCTTCGCCAGCATGACAACATCTTTGGGCTACCTCGCTCTCCCCCCCCCTTCTCAGCCCCTTCTCAGTGCAAGCAGATCTGCGCGCCAATCGCGCCTCAGGATCCGCTCCAGGGTGTTCGGACTCTAATTCGGCTCTGTCGCCCTCTTGAAAGGTTTCAACCTCTGCTGGAAATGCCTCAATCTTGGGCCCCCCCTGCATATTCTCCACGCTTTTTCAGGGCTACTCTGGGAAAGTCCAAAAGTCCCTAAAACCGAAACCCTAAACCCTAACCCTAAACCCTAAACCCCAAACTCTAAACTCCTACTCCCTACACCCTCAACCCTAAACCCTAAACCCTCAACCCTCTATGCCCCAACTTGCAACTCCAAAGTTGTTTTGGGCCCATGGGGCCGTGGCTCACTTCTCCTCCTTGGCCATTGGCAGCTCCTGCCAGCATCATGCACAGGGGCGCGCTTCTTCTGTGTCTGGTTCTGAAGAGTAGGGGTTGAGGGATTGAGGGCTTGGGGGTCCAGGGCTTAGGGAAAGGCAGCCCTGCGACAGCCCTCTTCATTAGGGTTCAGGGTGTAGGGCATAGGGCTTGTCCGAAGCCTTTGCACACTCTCCATGCGCCTGCTTGCGCAGTAGGAAGGGCGCGTACTTGTGCTTCATCACGCGTCGTACACCTGGCGCAACAGTCCGAAAGGGCACAGGAGGCGGGCATTTTCCCATGCTGGCTGTTGCTGAGCCGTTTGGGGTTGAGGGCCTGATTGAAACCCCTACTCCCTTAACCCTAGACCCTAAACCCCAAACCCTGAACCCAAACCCTAACCCTAAACCCTAAACCCTAAACCCCAAACCCTAAACCCTTTTGCAAAGCCCACCCATATGGCCTCTTCCTCACACGGTGTCAACTACAGCCTTGAAGACCATGGCTGGGTCAATGCCTTCCATGCTGTACCTGTAGGGATAAGGGCTCTAGGGTTTAGGGTTTAGGGTTTAGGGTTTAGGGTTTAGGGTTTAGGGTTTAGGGTTTAGGGTTTAGGGTTTAGGGTTTAGGGTTTAGGGTTTAGGGTTTAGGGTTTAGGGTTTAGGGTTTAGGGTTTAGGGTTTAGGGTTTAGGGTTTAGGGTTTAGGGTTTAGGGTTTAGGGTTTAGGGTTTAGGGTTTAGGGTTTAGGCTTAGGGTTTTAGGGAGTAGGGTTTTAGGGATTCAGGGATTTAAGGATTTGGGAAACGTTTAAGGTTTAGGGGCTTAGGGGCTTAGGGGCTTTGGGGCTTTGGGGCTTTGGGGCTTAGGGGCTTACTAGTGGGGGCTTAGGGGCTTAAGGGCTTTCCAATAGATACTAGTAGGGGCTTCAGGGCTTAGGGGCTTAGGGTTCGGGGTTTAGGGAACGTTTATGGTTTAAGGTTTAGGGGTTTAGGGTTGAAGGTTTCGGGTTGTTAGGGGGTTTAAGGTCTCGGTCCGGGGGTTCGCCGTTCTTGTGTGGATTTGCACCAGTCATCAAAGTCAAGAGTTTTCCCACCTCCAAGCACCCTTAGCCTTGAGTTGCTGTGAAGAAGCTCAAACTAACCTACCCCAAAGGTTAGCGTGCAGGGTCCAAGGGGCTCAAGTTCAGCTCAGCTTAAGTATCAGAACCTTCTTACATGCATGGCTGTTAGGCTCCTCTTGTGCTCTTGTGGGCACCTTATGTAAGAAGGAGCTCGCGTTTGGGGACCCAACAGGCGACTCTAAACCCAAAACCTTTAAGCCCTAAACCCTAAGCCCCCAAACCCCTAAACCCCCAAACCCCCAAACCCCTAAACCCCTAAACTAAACCCCTGAACCCCTGAACCCTAAGCCTCTAAACCCTTAAACCCCATGAACCCTCGAAACCTCTAAACCCCTAAGCCCTAAACCCTAAACCCCAAACCCCAAACCCGCAATTTGCCTCCAGGGCACCCCTGCTCCCCGACCTCACAAGTCCAAACCTCTGCCTTGCCAGGCGCCACCTGAGTTGTGTTGTCTCAGGATTTAGGGTTTAGGGTTTAGGGTTTGGGGTTTGGGGTTTGGGGTTTAGGGTTTAGGGTTTACAGTCGAAGGAGGGTATAAGATTTAGGTCTAAGGGTTCAGGATGGTTTAGACTGGGTTGCTGCTTAGCAGCTTAGTAAGTAGGGTTTAGGTCTTTGGCTTCAGGTTTAGGGTTTAAAGCTTCGGGCTTATGGGCTTAAGGAACTTAAACTTGAGCTACCATAGTCTGTCTTGCGGACATGTCGTACACAAGCATTGCATCCTTAGAATGGTACCCTAAACCCTAAACCCTAAACCCTCAACCCTAAAAACCCTAAACCCCTAAGCCCTAAGCCATAAAGCTCAGCCCAGCCACGCGCTCCACCAGGAAGTCGATTCGAACCGAGACCGTGGGCTCAGCGGACTGCGCCAGGAGCCTCTGCGAAGACAAGGATCGTTGAGGATTTTAGGAATTTAGGGTTGAGCGTTGTGATTTTAAGAATTTTAGGGTTTGAGGGCTGTGATTTTAGGATTTTCGGGTTGAGGGTTTTAGGGTTTTTGGGTTTAGGGTTTTAGGGTTTAGGGTTTTAGGGTTTAGGGTTTTAGGGTTTTAGGGTTGTAGGGTTTAGGGTTTTTAGGGTTGAGGATTTTGGGGTTTTAGGGTTGAGATTTTAGGTTTTAGGGTTAGGGTTTTAGGGCTTCGGGTTTTAGGGTTTAGGGTTTAGGGTTTTGGGTTTTGGGAGGGCTAGGATAATGTTCAGGGCTTTCGGGTCTGGGGTTCAGGGTTGGAGCTCTGCACGTGTGAGTTGCTTGGGTATGTCGCAAGCTAGCAATTATTTGGCTGCTTGCCGGCACACATGCGACATGCGGTGACCCCCCAAAACCCTAAACCCTGAAGAAACCCGAACTTCGGCCCCCTCGCATCCGCGGCAAGGTGCTACCACCGCATCGGGTGCCGAGCTCTGAAACCCGAAGCCCTCAACCTTGAACCACCCTTTTTCGTTTTGCATTTTTGTGGCCCTTGGTTTCCTCTCAAAATGCGGGGGTATTTCCTCTGCACCGTAATCGGAAAACCTGCATTTCCTTCATATTTCATTAGGAAACCCAGACCCCAAAAAATGCAAAGACCGAAAAAACATACAAAGTACTTCGGGAGCCAATCTTCAATCCCTATAAACCTGTAACCCTAAACGGAAAAGCACCCCGGCACTACTCGAACAAATTCAGCATCTAGTGCCCACACGATGATGAAAGCTTACTCCTAGCCCTACGGTGTCACCCTCGTCGCCAACTGCCCAAACCCAAAACCCAAAACCCAAAGCCCTAAACCCTAAACCCCCAAAACCCTATCCCAACCGCGTCTTTTCAGCAGCCCAGTGGCCACAAATGCCAGAGGTGGCAGAGGCGCTTCATCTGCGACCTGGCATCCTCGAACGCAGCGGCGTCGTCGAAGAGCCAGTCCTCGGCTTGAAAACTGGCTCTTAGGACTCGAAGCTGGCGAAGGGGATGGGATTTGGGGTTTGGGGTTTAGGGTTTAGGGCTAGAAACTACAGTAAGGAGCCTAAAAGTTAGAAACATTTGGGAGGGATTCAGAACTCAGCACAGAGTCTTCCTGCGCCTTGCTGCTTGAGCTCTTCTCGTAGTCTCGGACATAGCCGTTGCAGTCAACCCTGGCAAACCTCGTGAACAGCGCATTCACGACTTCGCCATTCAGAACGAAGCACCGGGCCTCCCAGGTGTGCACCTCAATCCCCCTACAGCCTAAAGCCAAGGCCTCTTTTGTGCCCTGAATTTGGGATGTTCCCCCCCTTATGCGAACAGTCCTTAGTATAACTATAATGCCGATTCAGGAGTGTTAGTATAAGGGGGAACATCCCAACCCTGAATCCTAAACCCTAAGCCCCAAATCGACGCTGAGAGCACGAAGGCCCCCGTGCCTCAAGGTGCACCGTGCGCACGCGCTCCTGTACGTAGACGCAGTCATTGGTGTAGTTTGGCTGCGTTACCAAGCAATACATCCTGGGCGGCTGTCTAGGAACTCAAACTCAGGAGACTGAGAAACGTGTAATATGCAGCATAGCGAACTCAGTTACCATAAGAACTAGGTGTACAGGTAACAATAAGCTTTCTTTACTACAGCGGCTTAACGCAAGTTCCTTGACCGCAACCCAGCATCGCCTCTGCCAGAGCTGCTTCGGCCTTGACCATTCGAACGTCCGCAGCCTCGTAGCTGTAGCCGAGCTTCACAACGAGCGCAGCTTCCCCATCTCCTTAGTCCCCCTGGTTCTGAGTGGGGAATCAGGGAATTAGCACCCGAAAACCCTTTAAGGGATTCTCAAGGGTACCTCAAACCCTCATTCCCTACTAAGAACCAGCCAGTAGATGTCCAATCTTGTGGGTTTCGGGTTAAGGATTTCGGGTTGAGGGTAAAGGGCTGTATCCCTGAAACTGAGCTGTCCAGTCTTCAGGGCACCATGGTTCGGTAGGGCCCCATCACTGGAAACCGATTTGTGGCGGTTTAGGGTTGAGGGTTCAGGGTCTGGGGTCAAACCCTGTGACCGACTCTCTTGTGGCTTGGCAGCTGAGGCCATTGAGAGCGTAAGCACCAAACGTGGGACAAATTCCTCTAACCCTGAACCCTAAATCCCTAAACTCCCTTCTTGTATGTACAACAACCCTCAAACCCTCAAACCTTCAAACCTTCAAACCCTCAAACCCTCAAACCCTCAAACCCTCAAACCCTGGAGACGCTTAGAGCCCTTTAAAGCCATTTAAAGCCCTTAAGCCCTCAAAACCGCTAAAACCCTTAAACCACTTGAAGCCCTTGAAAACATTGAACCCCTGCAAAAACCTTTGCAAGCCTCCAACCCTAAACCCTAAACCCTCAACCCATAACCCTAAACCCCAAACCTTAAACCCTAACCGGCCCTAAACCCTAAACCGAAACCCGGCCCCCTTTGCACACCAGGCCTCCCCAATCCGAGTGAGTGGCCTTCCAGGTCTCTTGTCGTGCCCGCTGCAACACCCGGAGGGCGGCAAGTGCACTCCGCGCGGCCTTCCCTGCACTTTGGGGTTTTAAGCCTAAACCTTAAACCCGAACGCCCAACCCTAAACCCTAAATTTAAAGGTTCAGGGTTTCGGATTGATAGCTCAGGGCTCCGAGCTGAAATTCGAAGGATTTAGGGATATACTTGGTATACAGGGACCATGTAAGGTAAATCCCCCGAAGCCCCGAAACCGACGACGGAGTTTCGGCAATGCCTCGCCTGGGTCCAGTAAGACCAGTGCCTTCGAAATCCTGGGCTGCAGGTCTGTCGGTTTAGGGCTGAAAGCCTAAACCCTAAACCCTAAACCCTAAACCCTAAACGCTAAACCCTAAACCCTAAACCCTAAACCCTAAACCCTAAACCCAAACCCTAAACCCTTGAAGCTTTGAGCTTCGTAGTGGCCTTTGGGCTGGGATCTCAGGGTTCAGGCTCTCGGGCTTGGATCTGAAGGTGCCCACTTCTTCAAAAAAAAGGGCGCGAGATTGCCCCTTCTTCTTCAAAACAAAAAGACTTCCTCACCCGCTCAGCCCCTGAACCCTCAATCCACACCCCTAAACCCTAAATCCTAAACCCTAAACCCTAAACCCCAAACCCTAAAAACCCTAAACCCGAGGATCCGGGTGGTCAGCGGGATCTGGAACTGCCAGGAGCTGCAGAGCTGCGAGATCCAGTCCTTTGAGGTCAGAAGCTTCCAAAGCTGCACGGGGTGCGGCCACCTGGCACCAGGGCCAGGCTTGGGGGTTTTTTTGGGGTTTAGGGCTTGAGGGTTTAGGGTTTTAGGGTCAAGTTTAGGGTTTCGAATTTGCGGGGTTTTAGGGTTTAGGGTTTATTTAGCGTTCTGGGGGAGGGCTGGTCGAGGGGTTTGGGTTTCACTGGGGCTTCCGGGGGTTGGGGAAAGGGGTAGGGGGCAAGGCATAGCTTTCTGACAGCAACCGGAGGGCTGAGGGGGTGGGCTTAGGGTTGCTTAGGAGCTTCGGCCAGGAACAGGGTTTTTTTTTTTTCAGGAATGCTTTTTTGGGCGTAGCACGTCCGGCACCTCGTGGGTATCCCGGATGCCTCCATGCGGGAGACCAGGTGGAAGAAGGGGTCCGCGGTGACGTAGCCGGCCGGCATGGGGATCTTCTCGCCGTAGCTTTGGTAGCCCTGGATGGGCCACAGGAAGTAGAGGGCACAAATCGTACGCCCGCGGCAAAGGGAGGCAAGGAACTCAGGAGAGATCCCCGCAAACTCATCGCTGTGCTGGATGAAGACCGTCAGAACCTCGTAGTCGCACTGAAACTTGGGGATGACGGCATCTTGGAAGAACTTCTGAATGAATCGGTTCGACACGGTGGAGCCTTCAGATGCGCCCCAAGAGTGCGAGTCGTACTGCACCCCAATCTTTGCGGCACCCCACTGGAACACAATAAAAGACACGGCGACCTCGCAACCGCCAACTGCCATTTCGGTTCCACACCGCGGGTACAAGACATTGGAGCTCCAGTCGCTTGTCTTTGGAATGTTCCAGGCATGCGGAGTCCGCCGCCGCACCGTGCGGGCTTCCGCTTCATGCACCAGCGACAAGGGGTCTGTAGTCCTTCGATGGCCCCCCAGTAGCCACATTTCACGTAGCGAGGGAACCCGGTTGTTGTTCTGTTAGAGCCCAAAAAAACGGGGTAAAGGGTTTAGGGTTTAGGGTTTAGGGTTTCTAAACCCTAAACCCTAAACCCTAAACCCTAAACCCTAAACCCAGGGGGTATAGCACCACTGCACTTCCTAGAGTCACCTCGATCTGGTCTCCGGTCGCCCAGTCGTACCACTGGCGCAGCTCCCACCGGCAGCGAACGTCCTGGTCCTCTGACGCGTCCCAAACACTAGACCCTGAACCCTAAACCCTAAACCCTCAACCCTAAGCCCTAAACCCTAAACCCCCGTCCTCTGACTCATCCGTGACCTCCACAACGACTGCGGGAAGCCATCGCTGGGTCCAGCCAATGCGGGGCCTGTTGTTGCCAAGGACCGGGGCCTCCACCAACAGCAGGGTCCAGCAAGACACAGGGAGAAAAAAAAAAAAGACCCCTGGTTCCCCTCCCCCGAATACTCGGACTGTAGCGATATCATAGTATTACGGAGGGGTATTTCATATTGGGGGTAGGGGCGGGGGGGGAGGGGTTAATGCTAGGTGGGGAAGAGTACACCACTTAGTCCAAAATCTCATCTCTCCAAAGCCTCTCAAACACCCTCTACACCTTCATCCCTTTGAAGGTAACACCATAGTGTAACCTCAGTTAAGGTACTTGTCACCCTACTCATAGCTGCCCGACTGAACCTTGACACCTGAACCCCTGAAACCCCTAAACCCTAAACCCGAAACCCGAAACCCGAAACCCTAAACCCTAAACCTCAAGCAGGCTCAGGGGCCGCACAGAGGATCCAGCGGTCGCCGATCAGGTCCACCCTCTCTCGGCCCAGGTCTTCCGGAGCCGGCATCCGGTAGAAGGCTTCGACCAGGTCCCCTTTCCTGGGCGGTAGGGGGGGGGGGGAGGGGAGTCAAGGAGCCTCAGCTTTAGGGTTTAGGGTTTAGGGTTTAGGGTTTAGGGTTTAGGGTTTAGGGTTTAGGGTTTAGGGTTTAGGGTTTAGGGTTTAGGGTCTAGGGTTTAGGGTTTAGGGTTTCGGGTCTACTCGAAGGTTTGTGGGTAGTCATAAAGTAGGGTATATACAGTAATATAAGTGAGGCAACCTAGACTATAACCTTAATCAGGGCACTTCGAACCCTCTTTAGACCTATCCATGAACCTTCAAGCAGCGGTTATGTGGGGGGTATCACCAGTACGCAATAAGGCAACTGAACTTTTGTAACTTCCCTGAACAGTGCCCAGTGTCTGGAAAATGTGGGGCGACGCCATCGCGGCACAAGCGTACCAACGGGGGGTTCAGGATTCTGGGTGGTATGCGCGTTGCCAGCCTACAGGCCGAGCCACGAGACGCCCACGGCAGTGCATGCATAGTGATACCTGTCATGTGACTTGATATCTCTGCCTACAGAAGACCTCGACACCGCCACTGCTGAGAGTGCGCAACTGGTCGGCACGCTGCTTGGGTGAAGACTACCTGGCACTTTTTATTCCGCGACCCGGCCATCAGCTCTCTCCTCGTTCACAGAGCAGCTCAGCACCTGCGTGCACAGGAATCAGACAGCTTTCTCCTCACACATGACTTGCTCAACTCATGAAAATCGGCCTGCTGTTTGAAGACGATCACATTAGTCCTCCTCGTCATCTCCGCCGCCGCCTCCGCCCTTGGAGGCCATCATCTTGCGGCGCACACGGCCTGGGCGGCCGCCGCCGAAGGGCGAGGTCAGGGCGAAGTCGATGTGCTTCTCACTGTCAAGGCGCACCAGGAAGGAAGGAATATCACAGATCTGCTTGCCCACCCGGATGTGACGCTGACGGATCAAAGTCCGTGCATGGTGGATGGACTTGGCAAGGCCCAGCTTGAAGACCTTGGTCTGCAGCCTACGCTCCATGATCTTGGCCGTCGTCAGGCCCAGCACGTAATCGAGCTTCTTCTCGCTCTCCAACAGCAGGCCCAAGCGAACCATGCGGCGCAGAAGCGCCTCTCCCTGGAAGATACGGGTCTCACTCTTCTCCTCCTGGGTCAGCAGCGTTCGTGCCGCTGTGCGGATCTTGGCCAGTGCGTACTGCACTCGCCACACCTCACGCTTGTTCTTCAGGCCGTACTCGCCGATGATCTTCATCTCGCCGTCCAATCGCTCCTTCTCGAAGGGTCGCTTGGGCTTTCTGAAGGTCTTGCCATAGTTCTGGTAGCTCTTCTTGCCCATGGCTTAGTGACCGATGGCTATTGCTGATCTGTGGGTAGGAGGTCTGCGGCCAAATGCAGTCAAGATCAAAACAAGTGCAAGGAGTACCTCACCGGCATCTTCAGGAAACCCGTCCCGGAACTGTGGCTGAAGCTAGCTGCTTCACTGCACGGCGTGTTTGGCTTCTTTTTCCGTGCGGCCAGCCAATCTCAAAACAGCTATCAGAATCTGACAAGCTTCTGAAGGGAGGACTCTGCTTCTGCGGTTCACACACTCTGAAGAAATGTCTCAATTCCTGAGCACGCATACACAAATATGTGTATATATATTTATATACTTATATTTTTTATAGATTTTCAATCATTATCTATGTGTAGGTTGACGCACACAATATGTGCACACACACACACACAGTCTCTCTCAAGTTGGTCGCTGCTTGGCGTGAAACTGGAGAGCCACCTCTTCATCTCATCAGTCCTCCTCGTCATCTCCGCCGCCGCCTCCGCCCTTGGAGGCCATCATCTTGCGGCGCACACGGCCCGGGCGGCCGCCGCCGAAGGGCGAGGTCAGGGCGAAGTCGATGTGCTTCTCACTGTCAAGGCGCACCAGGAAGGAAGGAATGTCACAGATCTGCTTGCCCACCCGGATGTGACGCTGACGGATCAAAGTCCGTGCATGGTGGATGGACTTGGCAAGGCCCAGCTTGAAGACCTTGGTCTGCAGCCTGCGCTCCATGATCTTGGCCGTCGTCAGGCCCAGCACGTAATCGAGCTTCTTCTCGCTCTCCAACAGCAGGCCCAAGCGAACCATGCGGCGCAGAAGCGCCTCTCCCTGGAAGATACGGGTCTCACTCTTCTCCTCCTGGGTCAGCAGCGTTCGTGCCGCTGTGCGGATCTTGGCCAGTGCGTACTGCACTCGCCACACCTCACGCTTGTTCTTCAGGCCGTACTCGCCGATGATCTTCATCTCGCCGTCCAATCGCTCCTTCTCGAAGGGTCGCTTGGGCTTTCTGAAGGTCTTGCCATAGTTCTGGTAGCTCTTCTTGCCCATGGCTTTCGATAGCTGAGTTGGATGAGACTCTTGACTGGACCGGCTGCACACAGAAATCAGACAGCTGCTTGGGAGCCTCACCGTGCCTACATTGCACAGTGTACAGAGAGCATAGAGTAAAGTGAACTGTGCGACTCAGGGGATACAATGCTGGCATAGACATGTTTGGGGGAACGTCCTTGTGAAGATGCAGATATGCGTTTTCCAAGCAAACCTGCTCCAACTGTCAGATGCTGCCAGCAAGCAGTGATTTACATCTGAACTTCATCCCACCCTCATTCGCTCTCCGCATACTATGCGCTCCTCCTTCTTTCCTTCCTTTATTCCTTCTTTCCTTCCTTCCTTCCTTCCCACTGAGGCATGACTAATGAGAAACACCTGCTGCATCGGATTGAAGCTAACAACAGATTCAAGATCTCTCGACAGCTGGCACACGGATAAACAACAGCGTGATACAAATCTGCTCCAACTGCCGCCCATCCTTTTGCTGATAGGGTCGCGGCAAGAGTGGACGCTAGAGTCTTCCTTGCCATGCCTACTGTCATGTGAGCTGCTCCCCGGTACAAGCGGCACGGATCCTCGAGCGGATCCGGCGCAAGCTCGCAATGCAGGAGTTGCATTCAGGCGGACTCATTCGCTTCTTCCACCTCCGGGGCTCATCCTTGGAGCCTTCCGGATCAGGGTGGTGGTAGTACAGGATCTCCCCGTGGCTGGTTCGCATCACTGGCCCTTGCTGTCGTATCCAGCTTGGATCAGCGCGCCAAGGCTCTTCAAGCCGGCATCGCCGCCCTGACAACGCACGAAGCATCGCAAATCTATTCCTTTTCTTTTTGTTTCGCTCTCTCTCTCTCTCTCTCACACCCATTTACCGTCTCACTCCACTTCTTCCTCCAGGGCACCCTAAACCCTAAACCCTAAACCCTAAACCCTAAACCCTAAACCCTAAACCCTAACCCCCTCTCAATCTCAGTCTTCTGCCTCTTGGGTCCCTTCTGGGCTCTCCGATCTGCGGAGTACATTGCTGATGCTTTCGCATCCCCTTGCAACCTCAGAGGGCCGGGCATGCCCAAGAAGTTTAGGGTTTAGGGTTTAGGGTTTAGGGTTTAGGGTTTAGGGTTTCGGGTTTAGGGTTTAGCGTTTAGCGTTTAGGGTTTAGGGTTGAGGAATATCTGGCTTTTGGCCTTGAGCCAGTGCTTCATCATCTCCGCGCCCACATCCACATCCCCAGAAGCCAAAGATTGCACAGCCTCGGCTCCCAACAAAAGAACCACAAGCGGAAGATTTTGAGGGTTTAGGGGTCTAGAGGTCTAGGGGTTTAGGGCTTAGGGGTCTAGGGGTTGGGGTTTTAGGGTTTAAGGTTTAAGATAGGGTCCTAATTTGCGGAGGTTCCGGGTTGAATTATGGGTTTGGGCGTGCAGGGGGTTGGGGGTTTAGGGTTTGTGAGGGATTAGGGTCTGACACGCGCAAGCCTCAAATTCAAGACACAACTGCATCCCTATGGCCTTACATGTCTGAGTCCTATAATTGCACCTCTCTAAAACCCTACAGCCTGAATGAATCCTCAGCCCTCAATCCTAAATCCTAACTTAAGCCAATCATCGACTAATCGCAACCCCTGAATCCTTAAACCCTAAACCCTAAAACTACATGTACCCAAAACTCCCTGTCCCCAACATCCCCGGAGCCTGCACACGAAGCCCTCAGAAAAGCTGAGATCCAGACTAGCGAGCCTGAAAAGAGAGAACGGTAGGGTTTGGAGAATTTAGGGTTTGGAGAATGGAGCTAAGCTTTTGCGGACTCCCGGACTCGTCTTCCAGTTTTGGCGTGAAAGTGTAGATATTTGGAGGTTGTGCCCTTCGGGTTGGGATGCCGCTCATCTTTGCCTCACACCTAGAAAGGACACCCTCGTCCATCAGAACCCGGACGCTCGAAGCCTGGTACCCTCAATCAAAAACTTGAAACCCAAAATCCCTGGAAACCTGCACGAAAACACACCAAAACCCTGGGGAGGTCTTTGACCTCAGAGGGACTCTGGGGTCTGAACTGGGGCCTTCAAAAAAACATGCGTCTATGAGTGAGCCTCTCTTGCGCAGCCCCATTGCGCCCCTCTCCGCCCCACCTCGCAGCTTGTTGCAGGAGGCTCGCACCTGAGCAGTAGCAGCAGTACATCTAGCCGTGGTAGTCATCGCAAGAAGTAGCAGTAGTCGTCATAGTCGTAGTTGTCTATCGTAGTAGTAGTAGTATAGTAGTAGTAGTAGTAGTAGTAGTAGTAGTAGTAGTAGTAGTAGTAGTAGTAGGAGAAGTAGTAGTAGTCGTAGTAGTAGTAGTCGTGGTCGTGGTCGTGGTCGTGGTCGTCGTCGTCGTCGTCGTCGTCGTCGTCGTCGTCGTCGTCGTCGTCGTAGTAGTAGTAGTAGTAGTAGTAGTAGTAGTAGTAGTAGTAGTAGTAGTAGTAGTAGTAGTAGTAGTAGTAGTAATAGTAGTAGTAGTAGTAGTAGTAGTAGTAGCAGTAGAAGTCGTCGTCGTCGTCGTAGTCCTCGTCGTCGTCGTAGTACTAGCAGTATATGATTGTTGATGGCTCAGGGCCCGCTGCGAAGCGTTTAGCGTTGTGCGAGCTTCGGGTCGATACTGTCTTGGGTCAAGCCCCAAATGCCAGGACCCCTATGGAGAAAGGGGGCTCGAAGCCAGGCCTGAATCTAGAGAGGCCCTCTCCAAGAACTGCTGAGCCAAGACACATACTCCTCCAGCGCCCCTGCCCTTGTGTCGACGAAGTCTTTCCGAAAACCAGGGGGCAGCGGTTCACGACCAGGTGCACGCAGGATGCTTGTGAACCAGCCTTCCAGCAGGTCCAAAGCATGCGAAACTGCCGCGGCCTGTGTGGAAGCAGCTGCTTTCTCCCTGCCCCAAAGAACTGCAACCTCTGCATCGGTGAGGTTGCTCTCATCGCATTCACGCTGCAAGAACGCCCGCACGGCGGCGTATGACGACTTCAACAGTTTACCTGCCGCCGTCGAGGAACGGGAGTCTCTGTGCCTCCGTATGTGGCATACAACATCAGCAATGTTGGCAAACTGTACTTGCAGTGGCATCGACAGCCAGCAACAGTGATCCTCGGCTTCTTTTCCTTCGGGGTATGGACCGGCAACGCCGGCCGGGATCGCTTCCCGACGCAGTACTACAGTTGGATGTGCCAGGGAACACGAAAAGATCATTTGCCATCTCGCTAACAGCGGATGACAGGGAAAGCGGTACTGTCGTGCGCCGACGTGGAAACCCTCCTCGTCCTCAGTGAAAGTCCGAAAGCCACCCCCAAGAATGGAGATGGAGGAGTGCTGCTCCATGAACGAGATCTGCTTTTTCAACCTGCACGGCTGTGCAATATCATCACCATCCAGTCGTGCCACATACTGTCCTCGACAGTGCTTCCAACCCATGTTTAATGCCGATCCCACACCAACACTCACGTCTGACCGCACGATACGTACCTGGGTTGACAATCGTTGGCCCTGCAGACCAGCACAGCATCACACAAAACGTCTGCAAAACCAGAAGTAGCCAATACGCCAACTACCCAACAGCAGACGAAAGCATATGAGTAGGGTCTCTACATGATGGTCAGACGGTCATGGTTTGGGGATTCCCATTCTTATGCGGGCGCCCTACGGTGCAGATACCCAAGCGAGAACCAGAACTTAGACACAACCGCCTAAATCACAGAATGCCAAGCAAGGTGCATTTGGCAAGGCCCGCCAACCGCTAAGGACCTGCAGGGTCTCTTCCCGTTCCTTGCAGGGGCCGTGTTCAAAGGACATCCCTTGTGGGGGCCTTTTGGGGTTCTTCTTGTGTAGACCCTGGAGCTTATTGATGAAAGTGCTCCCAAAGCTTTTGCAAGTCTCTGAACCGTCATCCGCGACAATCAGCTCCCAAGAGCCTGGACTCACATCATGCTGCGATCGAATGCTGTCGAAGGCATCCTGCAGCCATTTCGCAGGCGTGTCCTTTACCGGCATGAGCCATGACACAAGAATTGAGGCCTCCAGCCAATTGGGCACCCGGTCAGTCAGCAACAGTGGCACGTGCACGCTGTCCAGGTACGTCCTCCGGTACACCTTGGACTCCTTGAATTCCAACAGTGTCGGCGGCCACGAGGGCGCTGCTAGCGCCTCTGCGAAACCGGCAGGAACCACTGCGTCGTGCCAGTATGAAAGCAAGAACGCGGGCGAGGTGTCCAACAGCTTAGACAATTCGAGTGCAACGTCGTCTTCTGGCAGCTCCTCCGATGCGTTTGAGGCAAGCAAGTGTCGCCCGGATGCCCGCAACCTCGCCCGAAGAAGCTCGTCAAGGACAAGTGGATGAACTTCAGCCAGATCGTGCCCTGGTGTCTGGTACACAGGGTTATCAAACAAACTTTGCACGCGGTTGATGGTCACAACCATGACAACCGGATTGCACGGGCACGCGCAAAGAGGGGCGCAGTTTGCTGACGCCAGCTTTTCTTGCCTTAGGAGCCGAACGCCATACCCTTCGATATGATTCGGGTGATGCACTGCATCCCGCCCAAACTCAGTGCGAATGGCTTCCAATGTTTCCTTGACTGCATCTAAACGGTACATGGAGGCACTAAGTTCCCACGGGTAGTTCCAGTCATATTCACCGCTCGACCGTTCAAATAGTAACAAATCGGAGCTTGTGTTGGAATTTGAGGAAGTCGAGCCATGCGACAAAGGTGGCACTCGCATAAACTTGTCGTTGGGATGCGCATATTCGATACGCGGGCACAGCTTCGCATGCACAGCATAGACCCTGGCATTGCTGTGCAACAGTTGAAGCGCAACATCTGCCTGAAAGTCGCTGACCCACAGGGCATCATCCACTGTGAACAATACCACTGCACTCTTTCCTTGTACTCTTGCAAGAGCTGCCTCCAACAAATCACCGACCTTGTGCATGTCATCTTCTTCATCCCAATGAATGACTGCCTGTGCTTGAGGAGTGGCTACCGAATGCTGTAGCGACTTTTCACTCAGAAGCCTCCGCACGATATCGTAGGACTCACGAAACTTTTCGCATGAGGCCTTGAACAACACAGTGATGTCCAAAGTAGCGCCCAGGATGTGGTTCCGCAAAGAAGTGAGGGAGGTCAGCAACTGGCACGGGCGGTCCTTGCTGAACACCACGACCGCCAAGCAAGGCTTCGAATGCCCTCCCATGGCTGAGGAGGCCATCTTCAACACCGGTGTAAGGTTCTGGATATCTTTGAGGACTTCGGGTTTAAGTGCTTTTTGCTACGATTTGGAAGCAAGTTTCAGCCAAGCTCATGCTGGCCCCTTTATTGTTTGCGACATGTCATGCATTTGGCGATAGCCAAGCATTCATTGTTAAGTACGCCTGTGATCTCTTCAGTGGTCTGGCTTGTCACAAACAATGTGCTTCAAATTTGCACATACCGGTCATGCGGCCACGCGACAACACGACAGGACTTACTTTTGCATTAAAGAGCACAGCACACCAGTTTGGCCTCTTGTTGTCCAACTGGACTGCTCCGCTCCTCTTGCTGCATAGCTTGGTACAAAACCCTGCCTCATTTGAACAGAGTTTCGTGTTTGCAACACGCTACATATTCAAAGGTTCTGCTCTTTGCATTCAAGGCTTGCCCCATATCCCTTAGGAGTATCCCTATGCTCGAGTACACCACAGAAACATAGCTTGAGGTTCTCGGGTAAACTTCCCTACATTCCGGCGCTTGCATGGATACTGCTTTGGGTTTAGGCCTTGCACTTAGACTTAAGCTTCATGGGTAGTTATAAGTAAGCCTCAAAGCACCGATGCGATTGAAATCTTCATATGCAGGCACAGTATGCGCGGCAGGCAGTTCGACGTGCCGATCCTGGCACGGCCATTGGCCTACGATCTTTTTTGCCATGGAGCGCGAGAATCGCGAGAGGTTGTTACCTGGAGAATTGGAAAATAAGATGCTGCGCCAGCCGGCGGCTGTGAACAAGCAGGTTTCAAGATGCCGGGATTAGGATGGTGCTCAGAACTTGCAACACCTGTTCTGGCCGGATAATGAATGAAGCTGCGCAATCAAGCACGTGCTGGCGCAAACGGTCAGGCTAATCCACGTTCCGAAATTTTATTGGAGCTGATGTTGCAACGTCTGCGTTTACCACGCGTAGCCGTGTCGTTTGAATCCCTAGGTAGCGTTCAGGGTTTGGGAAAGTTTTCGGGTATGGCAGAGTGAAAATGCCCTGAAAGGGATCCTGCTTGTTCACAGCAGCACACTAGTCCGTTACGAATGCACAATGTTAGGGGAATGCGAAGAAAGCGACGCGCGGACACTTTTTCACATTGGCGGGAAGCAGATCCAGATCAGCTGAAACCGAGAGCACCGGAGGTGCCGGCAGAAATGAAATGCTGGACCGGAGTACGCCGGTTCTAGCATGAGCAACGGCAGGCTACCTAAGCGTGTCCTAGAGGCAAGGCGTGGAGCCATCACTTAGGAGACGGACTCTGAACCGATGCTTTGATCGGCTAGAATCCGCCACAGAAGCAGGCCACAGCGAGTACAGGAATGCGGCAAGGAAGACAGAAAGGACGGTCAGATAGGGGACGGCGGTGGGAGCTCCAAAATCGAACGGACAGGCAGTATGCACTTCACCTCGGAGCCAGAGGCCAGAGCTGCCGGGCGGGCGGATGCCTTAAGTGCATGCTTGCCGTTGCGTGTTAGTTGCAAACATACGTGTACAAGTACATCCACTTTCACAGCAGCACACTAGTCCGTTACGAATGCACAATGTTAGGGGAATGCGAAGAAAGCGACGCGCGGACACTTTTTCACATTGGCGGGAAGCAGATCCAGATCAACTGAAACCGAGAGCACCGGAGGTGCCGGCAGAAATGAAATGCTGGACCGGAGTACGCCAAAGTTTTCAGGCGGATGCTTGACCCGACAGGGTAACGGAGGCCAGCATTTTTCAAGCACACGCCAGGTATCTTGACATGTCAAGCTCAAGCGGGTATGTATACGTTCGCAGAGTGTCAGGAAGACCCGTCCAGGGGACGAAACAAAGCTGATCAGAAGAAAAACCAATCAAGGTGGGATCATATGCGCGACTCAGTGCATCAGCAAGGTCATTTTTGAAGCCAGGCACATGATCAATGTGCACAGATATGTACTGGCGTTCCTGTAACAAGAAAAAGGAGCGGAGAAGAGAACACAGGCCCTTCGCCAGCGAAAGTCCTTTCCAGGAAGCTGCATCCGAAGCTGAGTTGTCACAGCGGAACGCGACATGTACTGGCGGATGACCTGACGGGAGCAAACAGGACAGTAAATGCAGAAGGCCACACTGCGCGAGCAGCTCCCAGGCTGCGATGTAGTGTTGAGGAGCAGCGTCAGACGGAAACCATGGGAACATGTGATGCAGTTGGGCAGACGAGAAAGTGTTTTGAAAATACAGACACTTCCCACAGGGGAGGCGCACAAAACCTCCCAGACCTGCGGCCTTATCGGAGGCGCAGGCATCAGCAAAGGCCTGACATTCAAAATGAGGCCACAAGTGAAGAGATCGCAGGTCTGTACCGGAACGGCAGATCTGCAGCCACATGTCGATGACTTCACGCGACGAGTCCGAGAGCGAACGGTCCGGAGAACTGGGGTCTGAGATCTGGACTCAGAGACGGCGTGAGTTGTGAGGCAATGGCTTCAGGTCCGCTTTCTTCTGAACCAGAGTTTGTGCAACGCGGTAGAGGCGGGCACCAATGGGTGCAGAGGCGAGCCCGGATTGAGACTCGACCCTGAGGTCCTCAGACAAGCAAGCTGACAGGCGAAACCAGGCTTCCGGAGAGAGAGGCACGTGGACAAGCGGGCGGTGGTGCCAGAGAAGGTCGGAATGGTCTGAAAAGGTTGGACAGCCAGAGAAGTTTTCCAGTCAGTTTCTCCAGCAAAAGCGAAATCTTCTGCTGATTCCGACATTGTTGGAGCAGAGAGAGCAGGTGTTTGAGCTTTAGGTTCCAGGCGGACCGTATAGGTGCAGAAATCAAACTGCCACCCAATCCACGTCACTCTGGCTGAAAGTTTGGCCTTGCGCCAACTCATCGGAACACGCAGGACTTGAAGTAGGACAACCAAGAGGCTGGCCATGAGAGGGGCGAAAGACTTCTCAAGTAATGCAAGGATGTCGTCGACATATATCAGGGCTGAGTGAGAAAGCCACCAGAACTTGTGAGTTAAACGCACAAGAAGGCCGGCGACACGAGCCCAGCAAAAACCGGAGGCTCGGGCACCAAAGTTAAGAGTAAGGCACTGATACAGTCGACCGCAGTGGCGTGCCTTGCTCACATCGAGCACAAGTGCACACAATCTCTCGGCGGAGTCAGCCAAGGGAATGCAGCGGCGGACGTTCCGAGAGCATCGAATTGGCTGAACGGTTAGGCAGTTGATTGCGGGCAATGACTCCGGAATACTCCGGACACGGAGCTGTCCACGACCAGTCGCGGAGCTCGGGAATCGGACATCACCACACCGAGCTTCCCCACAGCTGTTTGTCGGATCTGCGCACCCTGCTGAAGTTCGTCGGCTAAAATTTCATCCACCACTTGAGAATGGTAGAGGGCAGATTCCAAGCAGATTCACAGTGTTCAAGAGGAGCAGCGGAAGCTATGTTCGATGATGCGCGCATAACCGGGCAGGGCGGAATGGGAGCAGAGAAGCCGAGTGGAAACACCATCACGAAGATGACGGAAGAAACCGGCATCCGGGTCTTTTGTAGCTGGGCACTGACGTGCAAGAAAGAACGCAGGTCATCAAGGAAAGGAGTCAACTCTGCTTCCGAGAAGGGGTTCTTAGAACGAAGAGAGTGCACGCGTTCACGATCTTGGATACAACCCCGGTATTGGCAAGGCGAGCGGACCAAGCATGTCTGAGAGCACGAAGCACGTCGTCGCTCTGAGGTTTGGCATGGCATGTGGCACTATTAGTGTCCGCACCATCCTGCACGGGGAAAGCGGCAGGCGGCCAAAAAACGCGCAGGCAAGGTCAGCCAGGTATCAGCGGTGAACTCCTTATCCATGATGGCGAGGAAAGGAACGCACAGCGCTGCAAGAGAGCGAGTCAAAGAGACTGGGTAACACGCGGTGTCTCGCGCGCGGAAGCTGCCATCCGGGTTACGGGCGCCGAGAGGCGTTCGTGAAAATTTTGAACATGAGGGCAAACGGATTCTGGCGCTGAAATGGTCGGGCGGTTGCACCAAAAAATGCAGGATTTTTCAAAGTCGAGGCCATGTTGGCAGACAGCAACCGAGGCCCCAAACGGAGCATGGCGCACGCACCCAAGACATGACCTGCGGATCCAACCAGAGAAGGCTGGATGCTGGATTTTCCAGAATAATGAGGCTACTGCAGGGGCACTGCGATGCGTCCTGTCCTTTTCATGGTTTTGGGGTTCTAAAACTGGCCTCGTGCGACGCTGCGTTTCGCGGCACCATTTTCCTTACTTCCGCAGCACATGGGGTAGGCAATTCGTGGCAGGGCTTCGGCTCTGTGACGGTAAAGAGTCTGGGCCCTGTTTCCCGCTTTGCTTCTTGCCTTATCGAAAAGAAAACGCATTTAGCGCCGGAAGACCCCAAACAATGTACGAGGTAAAAGTGCAGCAGCCCATGAAAAAAGGACCCAAAGACAGGCCAGACTTGGTGACGGGACGATATAGACCGGCTACTTTGAGTTTCCTTGGCGTTTAGGGGCTAGGGTTGCATCCAAAACACCAAATTTGGCGCACCAATCGCCAGTCTTTGCGCCCATGACAAGAAAACACCAAAGACAGGCCACACTTGGTGAGTTTCCTTTGGGTTTAGGGGAAAGGGCTGCATCCCAAACACCAGATGTGGCACTCTATCGCCAGTCTTTTGCCCATACTGCGCCCGCCAGCCAGTCAGCCATCAGCCTCGCAATCCTC